GAGCTGTCAGTGAGGAAGATGGAGTGTTTTGGAGCTGGCTCCCACAATTGTTCGACCAGTTGGGCTGAGGGAGGGCTGGGAAAGTATTGTTCCCCTGCTCCTTCTCCTCTGGAGCTTTCACTCCAAGCCCCACCTCTCTAGCACACTTTCTGCTGTTGGTAAATCTTTAAAATTGCTGCCCCTGTGTTGGGTCTCAGAAGGAGTGACAGAGCGTGCCTGTCCTCCACAATCAACAGGCGTGTCAGCCTCCCAGAGTGCTCCAGCTCTCCCTGGTATCTACTCCTGTTGCTCACCAGAGCCCAGAGCAATGTGGATATGTATTCCCAGAACAGATCTCCAGCCATGCTGGATTCCTGAGCATTTTCCCCTCCCCACTCTGTTCCTCTCCTTCCTGCTTGTGGGCTAGGATGGGAGTATAGCTTAGGTCCCTATCATTCATTGCTCTGACCCATTACCCTTCTCAATTTTGTCTTTTCTTCTTCACCAGTAAAGGTGGTCTGTTCTGTAATATTTAGGTCCTTTTCCTGGATAGTTGTATTTGCTGTAGTTGCTTCCTTGGGGTGTACAAGGGAGGAGGTATTCACCTTGCTGTCCTACTCCACCATCTTTTTCTGCCCCCTCTGTGCTGTTTCTGATATGGTACCAATTTTGTACTACTGTAGTATAAATTCTCTTAACTTACTTTAGTTACCCAGTATTTTCCATTCCCTTTGTAACATACTGATTCATGCTTTTAGCATTAAAGGTAGACTAATAGACCACTTTCTTGTACTTCTACTTCTGTTCCCACTTTTTGGGTTCTAAGCTTATCAAAAGTGTGATGCCTGAGCCATGTACCCAGAAGATCTGATACAGTTGGTCTGTGGTGTGAACTGAACATGGATGATTTAGAGGAGAAAAGATAATCAAGTGTGTTAAAAAAGGTTGTGTTTGTTTCTGAACTTGGGTGTCCAGTCATACTTTTTATTATAATCATATAATTTAATTTGCTCCTGTGTAGATTGAAGAAATGTGAGTAGGGCAAGGGAGTTTCTATGAAAACTAAGTCATTGCTTTGGAATTTTACTCAGAGCTAGTTGCTAAGTAGATTGCATTTGAATTAGGTGTGCAAAAGACAATGAAATATTGGTGGAAGTCTTGAAGGACTCTGCTTTCACATTTATTCATAAACGTCTTTTAGTTTTCATGCCATTTAAAAGAAACTAGAAACTGTAACTTTCTAGTTGGTATGGAATGGCTAATTCAAAACAAAGGCCACATTAATAACTACTTAGCAAAGCCTTAGTCAAATAGAAGGTCTTAGAAATATTTAAAATTAAATTAATTGTATTCATGGCTATTGCTTTTGATTAAATATTTTGATTTACTTACCAGTTACCAGTTCTCCATGTAGTCTGTCCATATGTGTGTGTGTTTGTGAGTGTCTTGGGATGGGTATTTAGTTAGTACAATCAGAATTTTAAAGCTGTAAGTGTCCTTAGAGAAAACAAACCCTGAACAGTGATGAGACTTGCCAAATTTCAGAAATAATGAAATGGTGAATCTTTTGCTTGAATGGAAGATATATATACCAGTCCAGTGCACTTTGCAGAAATGATTAATTGATTTTGGTGTGTTTTGTGTTACTGATGATGGACTATACACTGCTTAGAATAGATGGAACCAGAGAAGCAACTTATGTAATATCTCAGTCTCAGCACAGATATTTAGGGTGTTTATTGCCTTTTTAAGGCAGTAGCATTAAATAGCTTTGGGGTTTAGAAAGGCAAAAAGGACTTCTTAGTGTATGCTCTATTTCAGAACTTTAAGGAGTAAAGAAGCAACTGTTTGTATGCGCCTCATGTGGCCATTCTCCAAGCACTTGTTAACAAGGCTCTGACCCTGCAAGAGGAATCAATAAATCAATAGGTACCGAGTGCTTCCAATGTTTAACGCATTGTTTAGCCACTGGGAATACCACTGTGAATAAAGTAAACAAAGTAGAATAAAACAAAGCCTTTGACTTGCTGAGACTTTTACATCAGCAGTTGAATTTATGTCTAGCAATTCAATTATTTAACCGTAGGTTGAAAGTGCTATAAAAAGTGAAAAATTATTGCTATGAGAATATATAACTGGAGATCCAGACCTAGTCTGAAGGAATAAGGCATAGGTTGAGGGTCAAAGAAGGCTGCTGTGTGTAACTGATACTAAAAATGAATTCTAAAGTGTAAGAGGGACTTGCCAAGTGAATGTGGAGGACAGAAGGGAAATTTGTGGAGAATGGGCAGTGGTGAGCAAACTTAGCAGAGGGAGTAATCTGTCCAGAGGCACTGAGATAAGAAGGGGCATATTTGAGTTTGAGAAATGGAAAGAAAGGCTGTGAGTCTGCCCAACAGAAAGGAAGGTAGAGGGTGGAACAGATGATGATGATGATGAAGTAAGTGAGGTCCTGGATGTGCAGTATTTTTGAGAAAATGTTCTTGCTTTTTAAGCCCTTAAGTCAATAGGAAGTTTTGGAAGGATTTTTAAATCTCTTTCTTTCCACTATCATATTTGTGTTTTTTAGAAGATCTCTCTGGCTGCTCTATGGAAAACAGAATGGAGGGGAGACAAAGGTGGATGTGGGAAGCCAATTAAAAGACCAGCAATAGGATGCTGGTATTAGAGATAGAGATAAAGGCATGCAGAATGTATGTTCAGAGAGGTTTATAGTTTGTTTTTGCTTTTATTAAAACTTCATTACTTGTTTGCATTCCTAGTTAATCTTTTTAATGCTTGCAACCATTCAGTCAAGATACATAATCTTCAGGGGCCTACTTTAAATTTTATGTTTTAAGGGTAGAATTGAATATTAGCTCTTGTTCTCTTGGTTATATAGGAAATATGCCCTTATTTTTAAATTCAAGAAATGAAAGCTTATAAGTAAGAATAATAAAATGAAGTTATAGGTTACAGATTCATTGTATAATAATCCAGGCATTTTTACTAGAATAGGAGTCATGTGGGGAATATTTTAAATAATGTGAAAAAGAGCCTTGACTACCTTAGCATGATTTAAAAATAATTGATAATAAGAGTTCTAATAGAAATCTGCATATACATCAATAGAAGAAAGTGTGGCTGTTGCATAAATAAAATGAATTTTTGATTTGTGTGCACATTCCATTCATTACATATTTATCATATACTATCACTTTAGAAAGTACTGTCACCAAAATATTTTCAAATTTTGTCAAGACAGTTACTACTAGGTATTGTTTGTAGATATTTTCCTAATTTATAAATGTTAAACAATGTGCCACTATTGTTTTTATTTTCCTAACCCAGAACAGTTCCTTTGAATTGAGATATACATTAGATTATATGTTTTTAAGGAAATGAGTCAAGCAGAGAAAAAATGATTTTAGATAGACAGACTACTGTGTTCCTTGTTTTCTTTACTGTCAACATATTTATATATTGAAAGCAGAAATCTGTTTTAAATTAAAATAATTTTTATATCTGTATTTGTTGTTTACTTTCACATTTTAAATGTCATATCCTCTATTATGAATTGAAATGGTTTTAAAATGCCTTCTAAAATTAGTAAATTTTATTTTGTTGGAATATTTCAAAAATTGTATAAATAGCATTGTACCTTGAAAGAATAGATGTAACCTGAAAGATTATATGTTCTGCTTTCTTCCAAACCTGTTAGAATGAAGCTTTTATAGATTAAATTGACTAAATTGACTAATGACCTATACCAGGTAATTTCTATTTTTATAAAATATTCAAATATGATTTTGTATAAATATTGATATAAAGATTTTTGAAAGATGTTCATACAGATGGTGATTTTTTTTAATAAGAAAAAAAGACTGTAGAGACGACTGATTTAAATTTTGTTTTAGGTTTTAAGTTGAGACTGAGTAAGTTTAGTGTATGCTTATGTGTATGGCTCTTGGAGTAGGCTAAATAATGTTACACCTCCTCAGATCCCTGAGCTTGTTACCTTTTTTATGTTAATTTTATTTTGTGTTCATGTATTTTCTTCCCATGTAACAAAATCAAAGTTGTGCATTAAAAAAAGTATGACTGTTAACTTACATTTTTATTTTTAAACAGGTATATTTATATTCCTTAGGCCATCACCCACTTTTAAAAGTTTTCTCTCAAAAAAGTAATAGTAACCAAGTCAATTTCTTTTTCTTCACTAGTTTCTTTATTATATTTGAAATTAATTTTAGTGCTGATTTAAGGGAAATAGCTTGGAAAAAAATGTTTAAAAGTAATCACTTAATCCAAGGAGAGATATAAACTGCTTTTGGCGTATCTGTTCCATTTGCTAGTTTACTGGTGTACTAAATTAGCAGTGTTTCTTGAGGTCTTTTGTTTTTGAGATAAAGTAACAGGTAATTTAATAAAATTAGTAATCACCCTTTTCATGGGTAAGTGCAGTGTTTTATATTTTACATCATTCTTTAAACCATTTCTATGTGACTATAGTTACTTAATGTTGGTCAGATTTTCAAGTGCTAGTATATACAAACAGATATTAGGCTCATAAAGAGGTATTTGGTTCAGAACATGGAGAATTTAGAAAGGTTCAGAAGAAACTGAGATATGTCTTAAATACTCTTTTAAAAGTAAGCAAAATCATTCTGAGTCCCAAATGTATTTTCACATCGGGATGAGAAGTTGCGTAATATATCTGTAGTCAGACTCATTTCAGATTTAACTGGAAGAAAATTAACTTCTTTCCCTATTTATTTTAATCACTTAGTATTAAGCTTTTGTACATAAACTGCTTCAAATAATATCATTAGGAGACTTAGTCAAGTGGATTTTGATATACCTTGCATCTTGTGAAAGGGAGTGCTAAGATGTAATAGTAATTAAATAAACAAAGCTCAGTATAAATAAATTCAGTCTTTGTGACAATTATGTTGTCTTTGAGTAGTCATTAAAACGAATTTTTACTTTTGATTAAAAAATCATTTATATAATACTTTCATGTAATGTTTTTTTTTTATTAGGTCAAAAGAAATAGACTGGCAGCCTTATTTTACTACACGCATTGTAGATGATTTTGGCACACACCTACGAGTATTCAGAAAGGCTCAACAGAAAATAACAGAGAAAGATGATCAAGTAAAAGGTAGTATCTTTATCTTTATTTCATTTGAAAATTAGGATATTAAAATCTGTTTTTCTTTATCATTCTGTATATGTTTAATTGTTCCTTTCTTTGTCCAGGTACAGCAGAAGATCTCGTAGATACCTTCTTTGAAGTTGAAGTTGAGATGGAGAAGGGCATTTGTCGTGATCTAGTGTGCACTTCTCCCAAAGATGAAGAAGGTTTTCTTTTCAGTTTTACTATTGAGAACTGTAACTGTTCAAATTGGTTGGAGACAAGTTAGCAGAACCAGTGAACAAATAGAAGGGTCAAATTTAAGGGGAGAATTATTCTTATAGGACAAGTAGCAAAGTAGGAACACTGTTAGTATTCATTTTATTTTATTTTTAACTCTTCAAAGTTATTTCCAGATTATTTTTTCTTTTTTAAAGGCCATCTTTAAAATTTAAAGATGGTAAAGATTATTTCTGTTGTCTTCTTTTAAAATATACTAAGCACAAATATTTAGTAATTGCAAATTTACTTTATTTTTCTCTATAGTAGTTTATTTTGCCCTTAAATTCATTATTTTTACTTTAAGAGTACACTTGTTATTGTTGCTAAAATATTTCTAAGGGAATGATTTCAAATAAAACTTACAGAGTTGAATGAACTTGTCTTTTCTTTGTGGGAGGCTAGAACAGATAAACTTTAGTTGAGGTTGTTGTCTTTTCCTAGTTGTGCTGCTTGGCACATTTTTTGATTAACAGGATCAGCTATGTAATTATATTTCCAGGAGCTGTCAGCATTTGGACAACTAAAGAAAAGCATTTCTATAGTTGTGGAAATTATTTACTTAGATTTTTAAAATGTACTCAGCTTTTGAATTTTTTTGTCTTTCCTTTTTTCTCCTTCCCTTTTATATTTATTGTGCAGTTCAGTTTTTAATTGATACTTAATTTGCACTGATATGAAATAGTAACTAAATGTAAGAAATACAGTGATATGCAGTAGTTTTGTGTAAATCAGCAATATAGAAGAACATAACTCTTCTTTTGTTATTAACCTGTCAGGTAGCAGAGGTTCTTAAGGGTTATGTATGCAAAGTGTGCAAAGAAAGTTAGTGTGTGCTAGAAGTGCAGAGTACATGGTACAACTAAAGTTGTTTTGGGGGAAAACACCTTTGCTATTGAAGTTTTTTAATGGTTAATAAAAAGGTGTAAAATTGAGCAGAATAAAAAATGTATTAGTTTGATTAATGAATAGTTACTATTTGGAGAACAGTGCAGTACTTTTAATGAATACTGATATGTACTAATTAATAACTAAAATAATAAGCAGTATAATCAGAAGACTGCTTGTGCTCTGTCTTTATATGTTTTATATCAAGAGGAGGTGGAGATGTATATTTTCTGAAGTTATTATAGCTACCTTTTTTATTTCTAGGATTCCTAAGGGATTTGTGTGAGGTCTTACTGTATTTATTGCTACCTCCTGGAGATTTCCAGAACAAGATCATGCGATACTTTGTCAGGGTAAGCTTAAATTCGTATCAAATAAGTAGCTGTAGAGAAACTTAAGAGTACTAATTCTCAAAAATTGTGTTCTCAGGACCCTGATAGCACTCTTGCTAAAATTACTGAGAATCCCAAAGAGCATTGTTTATATGTGTTTTATCTATCAATATTTACCATGTTATAAATTAAAAAATAAGAAATTTGGAAGCAGAAGAAGGTACAAACACACATTCTATTAGTTTATTGATGATACCATTACATGATTGTGTTCCTTTTTGAAATTACTACTGTATGCTTGTCTTCTTCCAGCCCCTATAGGTCCATAGTCAACACTTTGAGAACTGCCTAACTTAGAGTTAGGTACTTGGATTTTAGGTTATAACAAAGATATGTATTATATTTTCTTTAATTTAGCTTTCCCTAAATTTACCACAATTAGGCTAATTAAAATAACACTTCTGGAAAGAAACTTAAACAAAACTGGAGGTTAAAATCCTGCTTTTTATAATTGGAAAATGAGTAAGTCAGAAGAGAACAATAGTCTTGGACTTTTTATTCCCTTAGTATAAACCTTTACAGTAAAATTCTGTGTACAAATGTAGAGGAGTAACATTTAGTTTCACTGCTGGTTATGATTGAGAAATACTAGCCATATAAGCCCTTAACTGGTTGAATGGGTAAAATGAATGTTTCCAATTTTTCTAAAAATGAAAGCTTGTGATCTCTGTAGTGCTGCAAAACAGATACTGATTCTTGATGTGTGCTTTTATATTTGTAATTGTTTAAGCAGTTCCACACAGTTTCCTAATACCTACTAAAGGAGTTCAAGTGCACTTCTCAACGTAATAGTATTGTGAAGTGAGTAGAAAATGCTTGGCTTTGATGGGAAGAGTCTGATAGATTATATATAACCAGTTTGAGTTAGTCATTATCAAGGGTGGTAAATACCTGACATGTCTATCATTCAAGTCACATCTACCACTGAAGGAAGATACTGCTAACCAGTTATATCACCCATTCATGTATATATTTGATGCAGAATCTTTATCTACTTGGTACTCCTGACAGCCACCGTTAGGCAATATCTCAGTTGCATTTCACATGGCTGGCCATCTTTTCCTTCTTGAAACTGTCTTTCTTGGATTCCATGTCATTGTTCTCATCTGCTTTTTCTCCTTTGGTCTCCTTTTTGGTCACCTTTATACACTTTAACTCCTCTGCCTAGCTTTTAAATATCCAAGCTCTTTAATCCTGGGTGTTCTTGCTCATCTATTCTTATGATGTGACTTTAAATACCATCCAAATACTAGTGACTTCCAAATTTATATCTTTAATCCAGACTTCCATCCCAAGCTCCGAGCTGCTCTGACCAGCTGCCCACTGATACCACCGTTTGATTGACATAGCCCTTTTAAACTTTAAATGTCCAAAATGAGAATCTTACTTTTGCTTCCATATCCTGTCTTCCTTTTAGTCTTTTTTCCTTTCTAGTTAGTGGTATGACCATCCAGCAAATTTTTCATATCTCGAGTCCTTCCAGAGGCTTACAAGGCCATGCATGATGTGACTTTGTTTACATCTCTGGCCTTCATGCCTTGCAGTCACTGTGTTCCAGACACACTAGCCATCTTCTCCAAAAGTGCCATTTTCTCCCCACCATGGGGCTGTCTTATACTGTTTTCCTCTACTTAGAATGACTGCTCTTATTATCTCGGCTTAATTGTATTCATTCCTTATAACTCACTTCCTCAGAAATCCCTCTTGACCACCCAATCTAAAGCCCCCTCATAATTCCTTATTATTGTAAGTAAGCACCCATTTGTTTTCCTTCATAGCATTTACTATATTTTTAAATTATAATTTGGCTTTGGTATTTACTTTCTTGATGCCTCTTTCCCACAATAGACCTGTAATTCCCAGAAGGACAAGGGCCATATCTGTATCATCATTATGTACTTAGTGGTTATCACAGTTCTTGGCACATAGTAGATATGCCATCAGAGAATCATTTTTATGCAAGAGAAGACCTGTTTTACCTTCTTGCTAGCTGTAGTGCATATGCTACTGCAGATCTGTAAAGATTAAGCTGATCAGGAGACATGAATGAAAATCTGTCTTGTTACATGAGGTTATAGTTTAAAATAAATACAGTTGTTTAAAAAGCAAATATGTTTTGCTACAGATTCTCTTTTAGACCAGAATTTCATTTCTATTTGTTTGAATCTAATTGAGTATAAAGGTAGAGTATTGTATTCAGCATATTGGTTTTCTTTTCATTTAATTTTATAGTTATCAGTATTTTGTTGGTAATTAAATCCAGTTTTTCCTGAAAGAAGTTTTTGTTCAGATTAAGTAACAGATTAAAGAGCTCTTACTTCTTTCCTTTACATGGATCTTTTGTATGGATTGTACAAATCGTGGTATTTGAGATAATTGCTATTTAAGTGCCTCTGCTTTCTTTTCATTACCATGTTTTATTTATTTAAAGATTCGTGGTCTCAAGGACTTTGAAGCCTTTATATTTGACATCTGGTGCTTGTCTTCAAGTAGAAATTCTATAGAAATAGCTACTTATTTTGGAATATTTAGAGCTTTCACTAGAATCTGTGTAGGAATTGTTGAGTTATATGGTTACATCTTGACTAACCAAACCCTTTTATGAGGGAAATTAGGAGATCAAGTAGTTTTCTAAGGCAGACTAATTGTATTAACTAATAAGAAGCACTAAATTTATTCAAAATTTTTCCCCATGTTTTTTTTCTCATTTTGAGAAGAAACTTTCAGAGAAAACTTTTTGTTTATAAATTTTCTCCTTACAAAGTTCATTTTAAAATTTGATCATGTGGGGCCAGAGACATAATTTGAAGGAAGAAGTTATATAAATGAATATAATACCCTGGAGAAAATAAACAATTCCTTCTAACTTGAGACTGTAAAGTGTTTCAAAATTCGCTGGAGCCTGTTAGTGCTTTTGGAAATACTGATTCATCTTGGGGTAACAGTTGCCAGAGATTTATACAGTTTACAAAAGTAGAATTTATATAAAATATTCCTCTAAAGGAAAATAAAGTGATGGCTACTTTTTGTGAACTTATACCAGAAAATGGCCTAGATAAATTGGATATCTGCAAAAAAGGAATAAATAAATCAGTTCTTTACTTAGAAAAGTAAAACATCCTGTTAAAGCTTGTAGTTTTTTAGCCTCTCCAGTATTTTTAAGAAATGGTATTTCATAAATTTAGATAACACAGACAATAAAAGAATGTAATTAATAATAGGTAAAATATTATATAATATAATTAGCACTAAATTCTTAAGTTTCTTTATTTCCATTCATTTAATAGTTACCAAATGCCTTCCATGTTTACTACAGTGACCTTGAGAAATCGGGGGCAAGAGGGTAAATACTGTTAAAGATAGATAAACCAGTAGGTCAGCTAACTAATCTCACTGATACAAAAGGTTCCTAGATATTTGTAGTGAAGTTAGAGAAATAGAAGATGCACAATTACATAGAGAATGGTAAGTGGTAAATGCCGTAAATACAGGGAGGGTTTGAATATATTTTAAGAATGTAAGTAAAAAAGTGTTCAGTTGGAATGATCAGGGTTTATTTAACTGGAGAATTGATTCTATATTCAGTCCTTGAAGAAAGGGCAGAATTTTAATAGATAGGAGCATAAACAGCTGTAAAAAATGGGAAGCCATATTCTAGTGAATGGTGAATAATTGTATTACTATATTATTATTTTATTATTTTCTATTAGGACATAAAACAGACAAGTATAGAGAATAATAGAATAAACATTTATGTATCAACTGCCCAGGTTCAACACTGTTAACATTTTACTATAGTTGCTCTGTTCCTCTTGAAGGTAACCACTGTTCTAAAATTGATGTCTATTTTTCCCTTTTATTCGTTTTTATATTTTTAATGTACATGAGGGAATACATAAATACATATAGTGCCGTGTGCCTTCTAAAAATTGACATGAGTGCTAACATACTAGAGATACCCATTTGCTTTTTTCCACTTGACTCTAGTTGTCATTGTGGAGATGTATCCAAATTGGTATAAGTGGCCTCATCTCATTTATTTTAACAAAGATATACTTGCTCATCTTTTTATATATAAGATTGTGTTGGTTATCAAATTTTACTTTTACAAATTATGTGCATCATACTTTTTTCTTTAAGTAAGAGCATTGTGTTAGGAAATTTACATTATGTTATTGATTTGATGTTATGTTATTGATTTGAGAAGTATATTAAATTTGTTTTTGTTTTTTAAATTTTTTGTCTAGGAAATCCTTGCACGAGGAATTCTTCTTCCATTAATAAATCAACTCAGTGATCCTGATTATATTAATCAATATATCATATGGATGGTATGTACTTTCTAAAATTACTATTCTTTTTAAAACAGTTTTTAAAAATTTAAAAATACGATTTGGAGATCCAGATGATTAAGCAAAAATTTATTAAAGAAATTATGTAAAAATGTATCTAAAGATAATCTTTATATTTACAATATTTCTATTTGCTAATATGTTGAATGTGTTAACTAAATTTTGTTTTAAGAAGTTTGTTGATAAGATAGTCTTCCTTATAATTTTGGTTTGTTACTACTTAATTAAATTAAAAGAAGTCTATTTTGCTGCCTGTGTGTATAGATTATGAGTATTTTTAAAAACTGCTATTTGGTTTTAAATACAACTTGTGATCTAAGTTAACTTAAATAGTATGTAGCTTGCACCTTATACTGTACAGAGGAGGAAAATATGGAGGAAAGAACAGTAAACTGAAAATGACAAGACCTGTGTTCTGGATCTGTTTCCTTAAGTTGCTTAGTGTGTTTATAAGAAGATAACTCAGTTTTCTCATCTGTCAGACATGTCAAACCAAGGGATAGTGACTGCTAAGTCTACTAGCTCTAATTTTTTTTCTTTTTCTGATTAAATATGCTTTTCCTCAATAACTTCATGGTTCAAGAAAGAGTTGTGAATGGGCTATTGCTGGGAATACTCTGATATATGTTTCTAGATCCTGATTCATCTACTTGAATCTAAAATTTCTTCTCTTCAGTTACCTTACCTCAGTCTGGCTTTCCTAGGAAGAAACTGCTTTTTGATTGCTTTTTGTGCTCCCATAGCCATGACCAAACTTGCTGTTGCTTCATTGTTGCTGCTGCTGCAGTGTTTGTCTCTCCCAGCAAATTTGGGGTTACCTGCAGGCAGAAACTGTCATTAACTGTGTATTCCTAGAGCCTTTCATGGAGGTCACAGAATTCGATTCTTCTCTTCCTTGGTTAATTTTTTTAGAGTCCTAGTAGGCCTCACCAAGAGCTTTAAAAATATGTATATCCACATAAATGAAAATTTAAAATATGCATTATCTCTTTGTTAGGAATTCTATTCCTGAAACTTATTCTAAAGTGATAATCAAGTTTGCAACAATCTATAGTTAAGGCCATTAATGGAAACATTGCCTATAATACTAAAAAGTCAAAAACAAGTGTCACACAGAGGATTAGTTAAATAAATTATGGCCTATTGATACAATTGAATACTATGCAGCCATTAAAAAGAGTGATGGTAGTGTATCTTTATGAATACAAAAAGATGTTTATGTTTTTTATGTGCAAAGGATAAAAATGTCTAGAGATATATAGTCCTTTTTAAAAATAAATATGTAAGTGTATATTTATGAGTCACTAAAATTCTGGTAGAGGATGTGTGCTGATTGAAATGATAATAGGTAGGTTATGAAGTTTAAATTTTTCTCTTTTTATATATTTTACTTAGCAAAGAACATGGGCTATATACTAAAAGGCAATTTTTTAAGAAGAAAAAATAGGTAAAATTTAAGAATATTTAAGTAACAAAATAAGGGTAAATCATACTTAAAACTTTGTAACACTAACATATTAACCTTAAATAATCAGGATATAATACTATATAATCTTACCTGTGTTATAGAAAAGGATGAAGTTTCAGCAGAATACTATGGTTGTCTCTCATGGCATTAGGAATTATTTTTACTACTATTTATATTTTTCTTTAGTTTTCAATTTTTCTTCTGTTGAGTTAATTGTATTAATTATATGGTGAAAAACAATTTAGAGGACTTAACACATTTTCTAAAAGAAAGCAAACCACTAAGTTTTTGCTTGCTCTTTCTATAGTTGGGCTAATACTAGCTGTTGTGTAGGACACTTGAGTCTTTTGTTATTTAATGGACAGGAATTGATCACTATGGAACTTTGCATGAAATGTCAGAAAATACATTTAAAAGAGAATTTATCAATAAAGTATCTTTAGCCTACCCTGTTGTCTAGTTTACACTCTTTTTGACATTATTTGTGTAGAAAACCTTTTATGCATAGGCATTTAAAAGATTAAAATTCTTACTCTTCCACTCAACTAAATAATCATATTTATGGTATCTAACTATAGTTCATTGCTATTTGAAAGGGAAAGTGTAAAGCAGTGTAGTAATAACGTGTTCTCTGTATATAAAGGTGTTATTGTTACCTAACAATACTTTGAAGTTTCTAAATCATTTCTAAAAATAATATGGCAGATTTGCATTATTCATTTCTAAGTATGTAACTTACTTCTTTTTAAGACAAACTAGTTAAATCCTATCTCTGACTATGGAATACATTACCTAACTGGTTCATATTGTTATCTCCATTAGAGCAGATAAATAAACAGCTATTTGTTTCTTAATGTAATCTTAGAAAAATCAAGTCTTTAATAACCTTCTTTTTTGTTTATTACTAAAGTACATCTATATAAAGTAAGAGAAACTGCCAAGTAATTTTCCAGAGTTGTAGTATAATTTTGTATTTCTACTAGCACTGTTTGAGAATTCCTGTCTCCACATTCTAATCAACATTTGGCATTGTCATTTTGTTATGGTTAACTTGTACATCCCTGACAGCCAGCTAATGAGCTTATTGACCAGTTTTTTTCATAGTTCTGAACATACAGAGTACTCAGTTCTTTGATTCCTTGTGGAGAATGGACAGTATCCTAAATCTGCTCCCTTTTAATAACTCCTCTTCCTTTTTTACGTAGCTTAAATTTTATTGGCAGCCATAGTCGTTAGTCCCTTCACAACATCCTCAACTACCTTTCCTCTGTCTCAGTTATGTGCTTGGAGAAACCACACTGGTTAAATCCAACTTAACCATCTACTCCATTTCTGTTCTTAAGTAGCAAGTGTCTGGAGAAAAAGATAAAATTATGCATGTCATCAAAGTCACTGTTAAATTCAGGCCAGGGAAATCCACTCTTCTGTTTAAAACCCACCAGTAGCTTTTTATTCCACTCAGAGTGAAAATCAAAACATGTACTGTATGCCAGCAGGTTTGCCTCTGTTACCACTGAGGTTGTCTATCTGCCTTTCTTTGGTTTAGCTACAGCCATCATGACTTCCTTGCTATCATCAAACATTCTGAATACGCTTCTGTACATTTTAGCATGCTGTATACTTGCTTTGTTTATAGTCTGTGACCCATGAGAATGTAAGTACATTGAGTAGAGAGATTTTCATTTTGTTTTGATAAACTGAAAAAAACTGGCCAACAAGTGCAATGGCTATATAACAAGTTGTGCCTAGCACATGATAGGTACCCAATATTCTCTTTTCCCGTAAAAGTGAGTCCCCTTTCTACCTGTTCACTAAATTTTGTTTTCAGATCCGTGATTCTAATTGCAACTATGAGGCCTTTATGAACATTATTAAATTGAGTGACAATATGGGAGAACTAGAAGCAGTCAGAGATAAGGCAGCGGAAGAATTACAGTATCTTCGGTCTCTAGACACAGCTGGTGATGGTAACTACTTAAGTATAAGAATGTTTTACTTCTTTAAGCAGTCTTACCTCTTTAACAGAACTTTAATTTACCTAAAAGTCATTTTATGTTACCAGTTGTTCTTATCTTAACTAAATCTAAATCTTCCTTATTATGTTAACATATGCTAAGAATTAAGCATTATAATTTTCTGAGACTATTAATATTTCAATTATCTCTAAAATATAATTGGCATGTTTTAATTTTAATTTTAAATTGATTTTAATTAAATTGGCATTATTTTAATTTGATTTGTAGACACACTAAAACTTCAGATTATTTCTTTTATTAAATAATTGCTCTGTTCATTGATTATTATTTTAAATTACTTCAAAGTATTTCACAAATAACATTACCACTTTTTAGTTCATAATTAATTTGTTTGTCTTTAGATATCAACACTATCAAAAATCAAATAAATAGCTTATTATTTGTAAAGAAAGTCTGTGATTCAAGAATACAGCGGTTGCAGTCAGGCAAGGTAAGTAAAGTACTTTTGGATTAATGTTTCATTATAAATACTTTATATTCACTAAAATATCTAGCAAATGACAAAAAGTAGAATATTAACCAGTATAGGACTCCACAAACTTGTAGAAAAAATTCCTCTTACACAAGTGTAGTATAATAAATATTCGTTAAGCCAAAGAGAATTAAAAACTGCCTGAAAAATGCTACAGTAATTAAAGATTTTATTTCTTGATTTATTTAATCATCTCATTTATAATTTATTTATTCAAAAGTCAACACTTATTGAGTTTTTTACATAGGGGACCATTTTAGATGGACCTAATGACAAAAATCTCTGTTCATGGAGCTTAGATTTTAGTTGCAGGGTCAGAAAATTAACCAATAGATAAGTTGATATATAATATTAAAAAAATGTAAAATATAAGTAATACATGAAAAAAATAATTAAAGCAACATGGATAGAGAATGTCTATAATTATTTTAGATAGATCCTGAGAGATTTGGTGACATTTGACCATAGAGAGATCTGAGTAATATGGGAGAGTCCTGTGAGTTCTTTTTAAAGAACCTTTCAGACAGAGGTGAGAGCAAAAGCAAAGGCTCTGTGATAGGAATGTGCTTGGTGAGTTAAAGGAGGTCAGTGTGGTTGGTACGTAATGAATGAGAGGGACTGTAGTAGGAATGAAATTGGAGAGGAACTTTGGAGGTTAGATCATAAATGGTTTTACCAGTCATAGTAAGATTTAAAAAAATTTTAATTGTGATGGGAAGCCATTCGAAATTTGTACTGGTGAGTGACATGATCTGACTTACAAGTTAAAATGATTACTTTGTGATAAGTAGATTGTGGTTGAATTGTGGGGACAAGAATGGGAGAGATCATTTATGAGACTATTGCTTTGGTCTATTAAGAGATGTCTGTGGAGGTTGTGAGGATTAGGACTGGATGTACTGCTAATAGGATTTGTTAATGGATTAAATGTGGGGTAAGATAGAAAAAAAGAACTCAAGAGTGATGTATAGGTTTTTTTGACCTGAGCGACTTCATGGATAGTGTTTCTCTGTTTTCTAAAATGGGTAAAACTGAGGGAAGAGGAAGTTTGGAAGAATCAAATTTTGGATGTTTTAGCTAGCCATCACTGTTCGACATTCAAATAGACATGCTGCATAATTGGTAAGTTCTAGTTCAAGGGAAAGTTTAGTGATGGACCTAACACTTTGAAAATCCTCAGGATTATCAGATGTTTATTTAAAGTTAAGAGATTAGATGAGGTCACCTAATACGAGAGTGAGTGTGAGAAGATACCAAGAATTTAGTCCTGAGACACGTGGTTACTAGAATTTAAAACTAAATGAAAGATCTAGCCAAAGAAACAAAATCAGTGGCTGATGAGATTCAAGGAAAACTTGGGAATATGATTTTAGAAGCTAAGTGTAGAAAGTGTTTAAAAAAGTACAAGTGTAGGTTTGTTGAAGACTAGTAAATTGAATAAGATGAAGATTTATAACTGACCATGAATTTGTCACAAGGGGATTATTGCTGATTTAATGATGGCATTTTGGTGGAAGAGTGGGGAGAAACCCTGAACTGGAGTCAGTCTAGGAGAAAATGGGAAGAGATGTATTATAAACAGTGGTTATAAGTAGCTGTTTGTAGTTTAATATAAAGGAGAACAGAGACTTGGGGCTTTGAGAGAGAAAAAAAGCATTTTTTACTACCTTTAGTATTTCATGTAGCCACGTTTTTTTGCACTGGTTTTCTATTTTGGAAATTTATTTGTGACTCTCTAGTCTTGTAATTTTGCAATCTATTTAAATTCTTTAAGGAATGGAAGGCTTATTTTTTTAAATATTAAGAGTTCAGTATGCTAGATCAATTATAACGCATTACTTGAGGTCCCACATTCATCATATACATGTGTGCATGTGAAGGTATGTCTGTATTTCAGTTAATTTTATTCTAAAATTAGTTTCTGTACTGATACCCTTGTGAATTCAGAAGAGAAGAATGATATGGTTTCACTTGTGCTTGTTTCTCTGACTAGCTGCTTACAGTGTTAGTGAAGCTTCAACATCATTATTTAATTTGCCCAGATATGTTTTGATATTAAATAAATACTTTTAAACTTTAGATACCTTGTTTGGAAGCCTGCAAATTCTATTTTGAATATCAAGCTCTACCTTTTTAATAGCTCAGGTCATACAGTGGTTTCTTTTGGAAGAAACTCAAAATCCCTACAGAAATAGTTTTTCAACCATACTGCTTACCCTGAAATTTTAGAAAATCCTTTATCCTTTTTATTACAAATAAAGTTATAGTGAATACTTTTCCACATCCCATACCTGTGGAGCTGCTGTTGGGTAGGAGAAAGAGGTGATAAAATTTGAAGAAGGAAGATTTAGATAGGAGAATCATGTGCTGGCACAGGTTGCTTTCTGCCGGACATTTTAAGTCAGTTATCTGTTATTTTATTATTCAGTACTTCTATGAAGGGAGATACTAATTTCTTCCTTTTTTCAAATTGCATTCCTTTTCTTTCATGAACCTCCTATGCACCCTAACTTTCAGGAAACCTGCTTATCTTCTTTTTTAATAGAGGATTGTGAGATACAGAGTTGAGAATACAGAGAAGCTGGTTTAAGTAGTCACAGAAACATCATGAGTGTTAAAGGGGAAAGGGCAGCAGCCATTGAAAACAGACTCATTCTTTCTAGCCTTGATCAAAGGCAGGCTTTCCGATCTTTAGCTTTCTTGTCTGGTAAGTGGAATTTGTGATATTTATTCAGTAGTATTGCTGTGGAGAATAGATGAAGTAATGTGTGTAATGTACCTAGCAGAGTGCTTGATACATAGATTCTCTCAATTTTCAACCTATTTTTTTTTCATATGCAGGTAGTTACCTTGCTCTGTTACTCTGAAAAGTATATTTCTTTGAAAAGTATAATTTATTGTTTAGTTAGTGTGAAAAGAAATACATTTTCTATAAAAACTAGAGTTTTTACTCTGTTAGGAGCAAAATTACTCTCTGGGAATGTTGTTTTCCCAGTAGGTAGACTTTAATCTATACTTGAAAATGTTGAAAATATTGGAATTTGTTTGTTCCTGGACATACTAAGCATTCAAAACATCCCTTTTAGCCAGCCCCTAAAATGTTCACTTATATGTAGAGATAGAGAATAATTAAAAGTATAGTCATTTAAATTTATTTTGTATTGGAAGAAATGAATACTTGTCATGCTTCTAATGTAAATTTACTGAACCAACTCTTAAAGTAATTCTAGGAAATTCACTTAACTGAGATATTTTGTTGGGAACCCACATGTACAAGAAGGAAAATATTTTGTTTTTATTCTATTTAAAATTTTTTTATATCTGTGTTAAGATCTTTAAACTAGTGAATTACTAGATGAAATATTAACCTACATTCATTTTTGTTTGTAGGAAATAAATACTGTGAAACTGGCAGCCAACTTTGGGAAACTTTGCACAGTCCCCCTGGACAGCATTCTTGTAGACAATGTTGCACTACAATTTTTTATGGGTAGGTAAATCCATTTTATGAAAATAATACAGCCCTTGAAATTTTTAATAATTGTAAATATTATTAAATTTTAAATATTTAATATTAAGTATGCCAGATGTATCTGACTCTCCTCTACCACCCATTCTCTGAAATGTTTCTTTTTCTTTGGAAACCATAGAGGTAGAGATTTATTTTGTTTTGAAGGAAATAAATGCTTATTTTAACTCTAATGTGCATTTGCTAAACTGCTTTTAAAATAAAACCTAGGAGATAAGACTATGAGTTTAAATTATTTGAGAAAGAATTCTTTATCAGGAATACATGGTATATATAACCTGTTTATGTCATTTTTATGCATGAATGGGGAATGGGCTTCATTTTGTGCCATTTTGATACACGTAAATATTAATTTTATTAATGTTACATCAGAATTGATTTTATCTGGAGGATATTTTCAACAAAACTCCCTTTTCTTCATTTTCATGATCAAACATAAGTGCATGGCTTGTTGAAGAGCCCAGTCCTTATTTTTAATATTTATGGAAATACTAATATTATGATTAATAATGTATATTGAGAAGAGAAGCTGAATGTTGGTGAAGTAGTTTATTTCTGATTAAGCCTTCTGTAGCATTTTTATCCATGATAGATTTTAACATGAAAAATGAGATTTTTAAAAACAAAGTATGTGCTTCTCTTTTGTGTTTCTCTCATAACTGGTCTTTTTCACTTAACTAGTTTGTGATACAACTTTTTTCATCTCAAGCATTTGCTAAACATTTCCAAAACGCAGAGTTTTAAGTATTTGGAACTTTAATCCTTCTTAACTTACTTGTCATACAGCTCATGTACCCAAGAATGTGTGATACTAATATCAGTGTTGTTACGGGTTTTGTTTGTTAGATTACATGCAGCAAACTGGAGGTCAAGCACATCTCTTCTTCTGGATGACAGTGGAAGGTTACCGAGTTACAGCCCAACAGCAGCTAGAAGTTTTATTAAGTCATCGGAAAGATGGAAAACATCAAAGCAACCAAACCAAAGGTCTTTTAAGAGCAGCTGCTGTTGGAATTTATGATCAGTATCTTTCAGAAAAGGTGAGGATATATTTTGATTACTATTTTCTTATCTTCTTTGGCAGTATCATTAATAATAATTTTTGTAATATTTATAAATAACCATTACTTGTGCTAGGCTTAACTACCTTGCAAACACTGGCTCATCTAATCTTGATAACAGTCTTACTGTGTATTATTATCCTCACTTTATAGGTGAAGAAACTGATGTTCAGAAAAATGAATGTACTTGGCCATAGTCATACACTAAATGACAAAGTCAAGATTCAAGATCATATACACTTTAGATTCAGAGACACAATAGGAGGAAAATAAAATGATAAAAAAAGATAAACCATGCAAACAATAACTGAGACAGAACTGGAGTGGCTATATTAATATTAGGCATTTGGTTTTAAGACAAAAATTGTTACTAGAGAAAAGAGGAAGGTTTTATAATAATAAAAGGGTTAGTTGATCAGGATGATAAAATAATTATAAACATAACAGAGACTCCATACATGAAATAAAAACTGATAGAATGGAAGAGAGAAATAGACAATTTAATGTTAATAAGTTGGACTTCAACCTACTCTCAATAGAACAGCTAGAAAATAACCAAGGATATACAGGAATTGAAAAGCTATAAACTAGTGAGACCTAACACATCTTTACAATATTCCCCTGACAACAGCAGATTCCACATTATTTTCAGGCACACTTGAAACATTCTCCAGGATACACCTCATGCTAGGCTATATAAAACACCTCTCAATTTAAATAAAAGTATTGAAATCATACAAAGTATGTCCTTTTCTCGTAACACAATCAATAGAAATCAACAACAAAGGATTTTGATAAATCTGTAAATGTTTGAAAATTAAACAACACCCTTCTAAATAGTATCTAGGTGAAAAAGAAATCAGAAGGAAATTAGGAAGCATTTTGAATTGAATGAAAATGAAAACAATGTATCAAAATTTATGGGATGTAACTAAAGCAGTGCTTAGACGGAACTATGGAGCTTTAAATGCCTAATTAGGAAAGAAGAAAGATCTCCGACAGTCTGTTTTCACCTTAAAAATCTAGGAAAAGAAAAGCAAAATAAACTCAGTGTACACTGAAGGAAGGAAACAGTAAAGGTAAGAATGGAAATGAGTTAAAGAGAAAACAGAAAAATAACAGTGAAAGTCAATGAAAGTAAAAATTGGTTCTTTGAAAAGGAAAATAGAATTGAAAAACCTTTAGCTAGATTGGCCAAGAAGAAAGAAAGGCACAAAATCATGAATGAAAGAACTCATCACCAATTCTATGGAAATTAAAAAGACTACAAGCAAATATTTTAAACAACTTTATGACAACAAATTAGACAGTTTAGATGAAATGGATAGATTGATGGAAAGACACAAATTGCCAAACTGACTCAAGAAGAAATAGAAAATATAACACATTTAATTAGTAGTTAAAAATTATCTCAGACAAGCAAGACCTAGATGGTTTCACTGGTGAATTCTGTCAAGTATTTCAAGAAGAAATAATACCAATATTTCAAACTATTCCCAAAAATAGAGAAAAAAAGAAACAATTTTGAACTCATTTTATGAGGCCAGTATCATTCTGATCGAAGCTAGACAAAGATATTTAGAAAACTAAATGAGAAAACAGACCAATATTCTTCATGAATGTGGACACAAAATCCTCAGGATTCAGAAATATTCAAACTCCATTACTTTTAATGGGTATGCTATAATACCTTTTAATTTATACTTAGCACAAAAATTATATTTGAAATATAAGTATGAATTATATTTGAACACTGCTAACTAGTGCATTTGATTACATTTTTGGCTTATGAAATATACTTAGAAGAATGTGATTTTAAGAAATAGAATAACAGATACCTTTGTGTACTCCATTGAGCATAAGAAAACATTCCCTATATTTTGGAGATCCCTATATGTTTTTCATCTGTCCTCACCTGTATTGCTCACCTGTTTCCTTATTTCCTGATGAAGCCAGTTTCCCAAAATTACTCACTTGCTTTCCTGTACAGTTTCACTATACATGTGTGTTCTAAACGATATATTGCTTAGCTTTGTTTTTAAATTTTATATAAATGGAATGATACTATATATATTGCTTTTTCCCCCTCACTATTGTATTGAAATCCATACATGTTAGTTCATGCAGGTATAGTTCATTTTCACTGAAGTATTTCATTGCACAGATATTTAAGTTTATTTACCTTTGATAATGTTTATGAGCAGGTGGTTTGTTTCCATTTCTTTTCTATTACATTGCTGCTCTGAATATTATTGTTCATGTTTCTTCATGCATGCACATATTCAAGAATTTCTGCTATTTGAGAACACTTTGTCAGGGCATATGTATGTTAGTTCTTAAAGTAAGTTGTAAAGTAAATTCTATTGTAGTCCAACAGTATAGATTACAATGATACTGGAAAAATTTAAAAATTAAGTTATTTAAGTCAGTTTCTTTCAGCATTTTAAAGATACCTTTTCATTATTTTCTGGTTCTCATTTTTTTCTTTGAAAAATCAGCCATGAATTTATTTCACTGTTACTCTTTTGAAGGTAATTTCTCTTTTCAGCATTGACAAAGACATCCCATGTCTTGGGACACCCTTCCCAGGTTACAGAAAGTCCCAGATTTTAGTAATGGATGTAGAAGGTTTAGGGAAACTACAAAACCTGTACTGTGATTCTAGAATTAACGTCTGAAAGCAACAAGTTTTTAGTGTTAAATGATTTTGGCATGGATTATTTATCTTTTGTAGTCATTGATGTTTTCCCTTGGTCTTTAAATGTTGGGAACTGTAATTTGCTCTTCACAGTAATGAATTCTCCATGCTGTATCACTGTCAGTACAGTTTTAGTGCATTGTTATCATGTGTTAACAGTCGTCTTTCACTTTTCCCATTGTCTGCTTTGTATTGTGATAGGGATAATTGTGAATATTGTAACCATCTTTTCTAAAAGTTTAGACAATGAAAATGGGAATGGTTGCAATACCAACACCAGCATGACCCAGACATCACTGAAAAAGATGACTAAATGACTGGTTATTCTATTAATATATATGGAATACATATAGATCCATACAGCTGGGTTATATATAGCAAGAGTAACTAACCAAAGTAGAGCATACTACACAATGTGCAAAAAGCACTTTGGGATCGGTCATGTCGGAGAATGGGATAGGAAAGCAAATGTGGAGACTGAATATTACAAGTACTTTTAAGTTAATAAGAACTCCTTTTTTTATCTCCCAAAATATCTGAGTGATCAGTTGAAAATTGTGGCTGTTGAATTAGCCTGGGCATGCTACGCAAATGAACATACATTGACCTGTCTTTCTTTCCTTTGATTGCTTTGTAAAACTGAGTTGAGTTGCATTTCATGATTCAGAAGTTTCAACTTAAATATCCTTTGAGTAAATGAGGAACTTTTGATAACAGATGTTGTGGTCCTTTAAAGTTGAGAGCCTATTCTGTCAGATCTTAGAAGCAACCATGCTTTCTATAGTACATTATTTTCTATCAAACTGTGGCAACAAGAGTTCATGTCCCATAGTTCCCAGGTACTTTGAGAAAATGGAGTTTTAGATATCTTCTTGATGTCAACGATTTTAATAAACTGCAGAAAACATAAAACAAACTTTGCTTATCTATCTGCATATTGGCAGACAGTACAAAAGTAAATTTTAACAAATTCCATTCAGTCCATAAACTTCTTATCAAAGAAAATGAAAAGACCATACCTGCTAAATTCATGTGTTCCTTCTATATAGCACTGCTCAAATGGGATATGGTCTGCTCATCTGTGATATTGAGGTTTTCATAATGTAAAATTTTGGTCAATTTTTTAGTTTCTTCTAAATATGCAGAAATACTGAGATTTTTGACATTATAAAAATGTCAGGAGATAACTTTTTTAGACGTTTGCTTTCAAGATGGCTGTTTTTGCCAGCCATAGTAAAGATGCTAAAATGTTGGCCTTCAGTGAAACCATATTTTCGAAGAAAGTGACAAGAATGATGTCCTCTAATTTAAAAAATGCATCAGAAATGACAGTAAGCAGAAAATTCCATTTTTTTTCTCTCCAAAATTCTTCAATTATCTTTGGTGACGTTAAAAGGAACTTTGAAAAGGATGGAGTGACTTGAGTTGTTTATATGTAGCTATAACAAAAACTCATTCTGTGAAAAACAGTACTCATTTTTTAGCATTAATACTATTGAGAACTTAGAAAATATCACCAGAAAGAGATGCCTAGCTTAAACAGAATTTTCTTAATTTCTTTACTAAAACTAGTTTATTTGGAATCCACCTTCACTCTGACAAGTTTAAATGATCTGTGTGTCTTAAAACCATTTCCCTCAAGAAAAAGAGATTTAACTTATGATGACATCCATTATACTTTGAAGTATTTTTAAGTGGGCATTTTAGACGTGGGTAGCCTATATGATGAATTAGTAGATGCAAAGGACTTGACTGATGAACAGCTGGTCTACCAGACAAGCCTGTAGATACAAAGTGGTAGACATCTTTGGAGAGCTGGAAACAAATCCCCGCAGGTCTAAAAATCTGCTGTTTTTTTGTAAGTAAAATCTCATATTCTATGCCTAAATGATTTTATTGAAAGTATATTTAAATTGATGCCATCACATTGGACTGATAAGAAAAGTAAGTGTGATATAAGCTTAAGAGCAGAGTTGAAAGTCAAAGTGGATTTCATATTTGATTATATTCAGTTATACCACTGTGTTAAAAAAAAGGATGTCTAAAATCAGAGAAGTATTGTTAAAAAAGGAAACATAAGAAGTAACAGTATCCTATGGGATCATGGACTAAAAAGAAAGTAATTGTTATTTTTTATTAAATATAGATAATATGTTTAATTAGTCTATTGTATGTAAAATCTTATAAAAAGTTTTACATTTATGTCCTAAGAATACACAATAATATAGCTTCTATTTAAATATCTAAACATCTGATAGTTAAAAAAGTTAAAGCAAATTGCTTTATCAGAAGACAGATACAAATGTACTGTTACATTTTTTTCAACATATTATTTATTTAATTAGCCCTACTAATGATTAATTGCCCATGTTAACAGCTACTATTATTGGTTTGTTTAAATAGCCACATGTATGTAATAGTGAAGAACAGATTAATAGATCATTTGGAGATAACACCCATTTTTGTATATTTATGTTAAAGTAGTAAAAAGTCTGTGTTCTATATTACTTTTTTTGAGTAGGGATTTTGCTTAGTTGTGTCCCATAATAACTCTTCAGAATTATTGGTCACACATATACCAAGGATGAGGCTTAATTCAACTCTGTTTCTTAGATTATAGAAAAAGTAAACTAAATAAATGTAAAATACTATTTTCAAATTTGCCTCTTCTTATTTCCTAGGAACTGAGTTTAGTGAGGTCAGAGGGGAAATGAAAGGACAAAACCATCTAACATGTTCCTCTCTAACCTTTGTTACATACTTGAAGATGTTGAATTCTCATGTTCCAGGAGAAAACACACATACCACCCACCACTACACCACATCCTAACATACACAGTCAACAAATAACACCCATCTCCTCCTCCTCCAAAAAAAACCAACTACCATACAATTTACTTGGGTTTACTGACAAGAGTGTGAGTTAACAAGGGAACATTGGAAGTTGTGTAGCCCTTTTCCTATACATTTATACCCTGCCGTTTACTTCTACTTTTTCTCCTTGATTTACTCATTCTATTCCTTAGATATTCTTTTGTTGAGTATAGAAAATTAAACAGTGCATACTTCTGCTAGTTTCTCTAAAAGTAGCAAAAAAGTATCATCCTTTTTACTCATATATTTCAGAGCTTTCAAAACTAAAAATTCAAAACTTGACATGCCAAAAATGACCATATCCCTAGCTTTCTTGCATTTTTTTTAATAAAGTAATTTTTTACATTGAACATCAGATTTTGTATTTCTGTATGGTATCAGTCACTTTGAAATGGAAATTATTAGAACAAATTAACTTACTCATTTTTTTTTTTTCCCTTGATGGCACACTGGAATGTTGCTTCAGCATTGTAAATTTAGGATAAGGTTACTGTATTTTAAAGTCTTAGGAAAGGATTGCCTAATGTTAAATGATAAGAATGAACGGCTTATGCTTTTGGCAGTTATATTAAATACAGTCCAAGACTACTGAATGTTTAACTCCTAAGGCTGTTTCCCATGTGCCAGGCACTGTACTTATGTTCCTTACGTAAATCTCTTTTAATCCTTATAATAACCATATTGTAATAGTATTTCCATTTTCAGGTTAAGTAAGTGAAACCTAGTGAGAGGTAACTTTCTCAGCAAAAAGTCAAAATCTAAATCTATGTCTACCAGTCTGCTGTATAGTACACAATGAGAAGGTTCTTGGCTCTTATTTCAGCCTTTTTAAATGTCAAAGTGTCATTTACAAACTAAGGATTTTCTGCCAATTACTTTCAATAACACAACTTCATTATTTAATTCTCCTACCATTAAGAGTTAACTTATGTATAGAAACTCCAAAAATCATTACTACTGTTATTTCTCTCTGTTAGGCCTCTCCAAGAGTTATTGTTGATGATTATTTAGTAGCAAAATTAGCAGATACTTTGAATCATGAAGATCCAACTCCTGAAATCTTTGATGACATTCAAAGAAAGGTATTATATACAACATTTATTATTACATCTTTCTTGGGAAAAATGTATATTCCTACATGCATGTAATTCATTCAAAAAGATTATTGAAATAGAGTGCTAACTAAAAAGATGAGTTATGGTAATGTGATTGCCCCTTTCTCAATTATAAAAAAGTAAGCTAGTTTTTGTTTTTTTCATTGACAAATGAGGAAAATCCTTAGGTTGGGTTGTTTTATTTTAATCTGAAGAGCCATGTACATATTCTTAGAGTTTCATGAATTAATGATATATAAATAACATGGCTCATTTTGATATGTTCCTTGAGCCTTTATGGACTTGTTTCCTAAAGAAAGAACACTGCTTCCTAGAACATTATATGTAACCTACTATCAAGTGACTAGTGTTACATTAGGACCTTTTTCAGTACAATTGAGGTTCTAGAGGGACCAGAAGAAATCATTAGTTCTGACTTGGTCTTTTTGCTGACATTTTGTAAATACGGAGCCTGTGATTCATTATAGCAAGGCCTCGGTCTAGCTTTTGATGAAATCTTACTAGTGAAAATTAATACATTACCTGTATTAATGATGACTATTCTTGATTTATTTCAATAAGGTATATGAATTGATGCTACGAGATGAAAGATTTTATCCTTCCTTCAGACAGAATGCACTTTATGTGCGCATGTTAGCTGAGCTGGATATGTTAAAAGATCCTAGTTTCAGAGGATCAGATGATGGGGATGGAGGTAAGGTGGTACACATTGTACATTTATATGTAAATATGTATATATACATTTTTCACTGCTTACCAAAAAAATGACCTTTAAACAAGATAAAAAATGTTCTTGAAGTCCATAAATTTTGGTATATTTAAAAATCTGTGAATGAATGACAAAATTTTAGTTACTATATTAAAAAATGTTGAAAACTTAATAATAGATTAGAACATAAGTATAAAATCCTTTAGTTCTTAAAGAAAAATATTTTCTTGAGTTGTGTCACCCAAATATTTTTATGGTAGTTTCCTTCTTGCTAGTAAGTAATATTACTCAAGACTAATAGGAATATTGAGAAGATTAAGTGAGATAACCAGGAAAGATTCTGTAAGTATACCATAGACCAATAAGCAATATTTTTCAGAGTAAGTTTTTCTCTTTAATTATAACTGTTTCCAGAACCTGCTCAGTACACATTGGAAGAAACTGTAAGAGTCTTTTATTCTAATCTTTCAGTTTTTTCAAGTAAGGATACTATGAGCATAAAATAGTGGGAAACAAAACAGACTTTGAGTCAGAATATTTAGATTTTACTCTTACCACTTTATTACCCGTGTAATGTTGGCCAGATAATATCTTTCTCATTTTTCTCAGTTGTAAATCTGCAGTAATATTCTTCTCATAAGAGTATCTTACCTCAGAGTCATTGTCAGATGTAAATGGATTTATGTATATGAAAGTGATTTATAAACTAAAGCACAAATTCTAGTTTCTATTAGTAGTAAGCATTCAGTTGTTCAAGAGTAGTGGGAAAGGCCTTTAAAGCACAAGTTTCCAGATTCTTAGGCCCAATGACCATTTTACCAAATCAGAAGTACTTGTTCAGTCTAATTAAATATCTAAGGTTTGATACTTTTTGCTGTGTTCTACTAAGCAAATAAAGAAAGTAAATAAAAAGTAAATAGAAAAGATTTGACTAAGAGAGTGCTTTAATTATAATCATTTACTTATGAATAGGTTTTATGGGCAGGATTTGGGGTTGGAGATAATGATAATCTAGTAAGTACTGAGCACTGCTTTAAAAAATACCTCTATTTTAGAAGCTTCCTAGCCTCTCCTCTCTTAGAACCTTCTTCCCTGGCTAGCTTACATTACTGAGATTTAACTTTATAAATAGTCTAAGGAGGCTAGTTACAGAAATAATTTGTATTTGAGTTTATATTGAGTGTTGATCTAATATCTTGGGTTTTCAAATTGATATTCTTTCTGGTTTAATTTGTAAAAATTGGAATAATGCTCAGCGACCTGCATTTAATTGCATTAGAAGTTTTTAAGTGTACTTCTGTGGGAACTGAATAGTAAAATAAAGTAGGCCTCAAGCTTATTATATGGTATATCTGTATTTACTGTCTCTGTTGAAAAATTTTTTACAGAACTGCTATGAAATTTACAGTAGCAACTTTGCTTCCAGAGAGGACTATTATGTTTTTGTTGTTTATCTACTGTAAACGTTTCTTAGTATTGTCAAATGGATTTGCTATAAGACCCAGAATGAAGATAAATTGAATTGTAATCAACTAATTAAATGAACTTATCAGTAATGTATAATTTAAAATGATGATGGTATCAATATATTCTATGGGAGTAGTTTTTGATCCTAGAGTGTAAGAACTTTTCCAAAGTCGTCTACATTTACTTTTAGTTTCCATTTATGTATTTCTAGCTAGTCTGTCTTCTTGTAGACAGCTAATAGAATCAAATTTCTAAACCATCTGAAATCCAAAACCTCATACCTATAAAGTATATTAAAAAATTTTTTTTTCTGCAACTGGTTTTGATATGAAGTAAATGACCTTACCTTGTATCTCAGTCGTTGAGTCATCCCTCACATTGGAATCATTGACTGTAACAGCTTGGAATTCTAAATGTATGTATCTTGTCTTTCTAGGTCATGGCTTTTTAATATTCTCTGGCCTAGTTGATGAGCTTTAATATATTTTATGACTAGTAAACTGCCTAACCCTGGTTTTGAGACCATTTGAAAAAAGTATGTGGAGTGATGGATGTAATATGAAACATTAAAAATACCTTTAAGGTTTATTGTCTTTGTTAGTGTTTGAGTTTTAGGCAATTGCTACAACTTTTTCAAATAGTAATGCTTATGATTTTCTTGTCTGTATAAGATTATTTAATAAAAAATAGGCCTTTTCCCCATTTTTTATTATAAATTCTGACTTTTTTCTGACTTAAAATTAAGCTTCTGACACTCATTTTTTTAGACATTCTCAAATGTTGGCTACTTTTTAGACATTATGAAGTAATTTTCTAGTCTAGTGTTTAATGTGTAGCTGATTTTTAAAAAAATTGCAGGCTATAATTGACCCTAATGGACTAAGTCTTGTGTGTGATACCAGCCTGTGGTGGTTTTTCTTTGCTGGGGAAGAAATTTCATTCCTGTTTAGCCAAACTTCAGTAGATAGGTAGGTACCTGGATGGTTTGCCTATTCATACTCTTTCTCCTCTCTCCTCACTTCCTCCCCATTCTTCCTTCTCGTTCTCTTAATTTGTGACTGCTTTCTTTAGTTAGTTCAGTTTTTAAGTAATTTTAAAAGTGGATTTTTCTCCTTATTAAAACATGGTCTTGAAGTTTTTAAAAGTACTTAAATTATGCTATTTTAAATTGTAATTTGAGTCACATTTTTCACACCATGTAAACTGTACTTTTCTTCTCTTTTCTAATGTTTGTAGGAAATTACCAACTTCTTGATGAGATGGACCTAGACTGATTTTAGATTCTATTTTTAGATCTTATTGTAGATCAAGAAAACAAACTGTCTTGTTTTGCTCTAGATTTCTCCCTTAATTTGACTTGTCTTCGGTAGAAAGATATGAGGTAGGAGGCGTGTAATTGAATAAGGAGGATAGAGAACTATTTGTTATTAATTTTAGTTATCACCTTGCTATTAAACAAGGGGTAATCCTAGGTGGAATTTCCTGTTTACCTTTTGTGACCAAAGGTCTTAGAAACCAAGAAATGTTCTTGGCATTTATAGTTGTTGAAAACAATACCAACTGCCTTTTTATAAAATTATAGAAATTTTTGCTTTCAAGACTCTTTTAGAGATCCAAATTCATAAATGACCTCTTAAGTGCTAGAAACCCTACATTAACTTTAAATTGTTACAATATATTCATTTGTCTTTTTAACAAAGGGGCATCTTAATTGGTATCTTAATTTGCTCAGAAAAAAGAATAAAACCTCAAGGAAAAACCATTAATTTTAATAATATGTAATTGACCTACTCTCTTTTTTTGCCATTTGTTTATTTATTTTTGAGCAAAGCCTCTTTATTTTTTTGGTAGTGAGGTACATACAATAAAATGCATAAATCTTAATGTACAGCTGGATGAATTTTGACATGTATATACTTATGTAACCATTTCCCAGATCAAGATACCAAACATTCTCACTGATTTTTTTCCCCTTCACCTGTTTAGCCTATTCCCCCATCTCCTTCTGTGCTATGTCAGCCACCAGTTGTTCTCTGCATTTATGAGTCTATTTCAGTTTTGTTTGTTCATTTTACAATGTTCCATCCATGTGGTCACAAATGGCAAGATTTCATTCTTTTTATGGCTGGGTAATAATTCCAATGTATATATGTACCACATCTTTTTTACCGATTCATCTATTGATGGACATTTAAGTTGTTTCCATATTTTGGCTATTATAAATAATGCTGCAATAAATGTAAGAGTACATATCTCTTCTAATTGGTGGTTTTGTTTTTCTTCGGGTCAATTTCCAGCAATGGAATTGCAAGGTCATATGTGATTTCAGCCTAGTTTTTGAGAAACTTCCATACTGCTTTCCATAGTGTCTGTACAAATTTGCATCCACATTAACAGTGTATAAAGGTTCCCTTTTCTCTGCACCCTTGCCAGTGCTTGTTATTTCTTGTCTTATTGGTATTAGCTGTTCTGACAGGTGTGAAGTGGTATCTCATTTTAGTTTTGATTTGCATTTCCCTGATAATGAGTTGTGTTGAGCATCTTTTCACATGTCTTGACCATCTGTATATCTTTTTTGGAAAAATGTCTATTCAGGTCCTCTGCCCATTTTTTAGTTGGATTATTTGTATTTTTGGTGTTGAATCTTTATGTATATTGGATGTTAGTCCCTTATTGGATATATCATTTGTAAATATATTCTTCCATACAATAGATTGCCTTTTCATTTTGTTGTTTGTTTCCTTTGCTGTGTAGAAGCTTTTTAGTTTATTGTAGTCCTGCTTGTTTGTTTTTCCTTTTTTTCCCTTGCTGGGGTAGACATCTCCAGAAAAAAGTTAGTAATGTTCAAGAGTTTACAGTTCACTTTCTTCTAGGAGTTTTCTGATTTTATGTTGTACGATTAGGTTTTTAAACAATTTTGAGTTTATCTTTGTGTATGGTATGAGATAGTAATCCAGTTTCATTCTTTTTCATGTAGCTATTTAGTTTTCCCAGCACCCTTTATTGAAGAGGCTTTCTTTTCCCTGCTGTATATTCTTGTCTCCTTTGTCTAGATTAATTAGCCCTATAGATATGGGTTTATTTCTGAACTTTCTTTTGTGTTCCATTGGTCTGTGTATCTCTTATTGTGCCAGTACCATACTGTTTTGATTACGATAATTTTGTAATATAGTTTGAATCCCAGAAGCATGATACCCCTAGCTTTGTTCTTTTTCAAGATTGCTTGAGCTATTCGGGGTTTTTTGTGGTTCCATACAAATTTTAGGATTATTTGCCCTAGTTCAGGGAAAACTCATTGGTATTTTGATGGGATTGCATTAAATCTACAGATTGCTTTGGGCAGTATGGCAATTTAACAATATTAATTCTTTCTGTCCATGAGCATGGCATAGCTTTTGATTTATTTGTGTCTTTTTCACTTTCTTTCATCAATGTCTTAATAGTTTTCAGAGCTCACATCTTTTACCTCCTGGGTTAAATTTATTCCTATTGGTGTCTTCAGGATTTTCTGTATATACTGTCATGCCATCTTCAAATAGTAACACTTTTACTTCTTCTTACCAATTTGGATTCCTTTTATTTCTTTTTTTTTGCCTCATTGCTATGGCTAGGACTTAGCCATAAAGTTAAATAAAAGTGGTGAGAAGGGGCATCCTTCTAAATCAGAAATTATTCCTGATTTTAGAGGAAAAGCTTTCAACTTTTCACTGTTAAGTATAATGTTAGCTGCAGGTTTGTCACATGTGGTCTTTATTATATTGAGATATGTGCCCTCTCTGTGCACTTTGTTGAGAGTTTTTATCATGAGTGGATGTTGCTTTTCAGCATCTATTGCTTTTCAGCATCTATTGAGATGATCATATGGTTTTTATCCTTCCTTTTGTTAATGTGTATCATACTGATTTGTTGATGTAGAATCATCCTTGCATGCCTGGAGTAAATCCCATTTTGTGGTGAATGATTCTTTTAATGTATTTTTGAATTTAATTTGCTCCTATTTTGTTGAAGATTTTACCTCTGTTCATCAGGTATATGGGTCTGTAATTTTCTTTTTTGTAGTGTCTTTGTCTGGTTTTGGTATGAAGATGATGCTGACCTCATAGAATGAATTTGAATTACCTTCCTCTTCAGTGTTTTGGAATGGTTTGAAAAGGATAGGCATTAACTCTTACTTAAAAGTTTGGTGGAATTCTCCTGTGAAGTCATCTGGTCCTGGTATTTGTTGGGAATTTTTGATTACTGCTTCAATTTCATTACTAATAATAGGTCTATTCAGATTTTCTATTTCTTCCTGGTTCAGTCTTGGGAGATTGCATGTTCCCGGGAATTTATCCATTTCTTCTAGGTTGTCCAGTTGGTTCGCATATAATTTTTAATAGTAATCTTTTATAATTGTTTGTATTTCTGTGATACCAGTTGTAACTTCTCTCTCATTTCTGATTTCTTTGAGTCCTCTCTTTTTCTTGATAAATCCAACTAAATTTGTATTTTTGGTGTTGAATCTTTATGTATATTGGATGTTAGTCCCTTATTGGATATATCATTTGTAAATATATTCTTCCATACAATAGATTGCCTTTTCATTTTGTTGTTTGTTTCCTTTGCTGTGTAGAAGCTTTTTAGTTTATTGTAGTCCTGCTTGTTTGTTTTTCCTTTTTTTCCCTTGCTTGGGTAGACATCTCCAGAAAAAAGTTAGTAATGTTCAAGAGTTTACAGTTCACTTTCTTCTAGGAGTTTTCTGATTTTATGTTGTACGATTAGGTTTTTAAACAATTTTGAGTTTATCTTTGTGTATGGTATGAGATAGTAATCCAGTTTCATTCTTTTTCATGTAGCTATTTAGTTTTCCCAGCACCCTTTATTGAAGAGGCTTTCTTTTCCCTGCTGTATATTCTTGTCTCCTTTGTCTAGATTAATTAGCCCTATAGATATGGGTTTATTTCTGAACTTTCTTTTGTGTTCCATTGGTCTGTGTATCTCTTATTGTGCCAGTACCATACTGTTTTGATTACGATAATTTTGTAATATAGTTTGAATCCCAGAAGCATGATACCCCTAGCTTTGTTCTTTTTCAAGATTGCTTGAGCTATTCGGGGTTTTTTGTGGTTCCATACAAATTTTAGGATTATTTGCCCTAGTTCAGGGAAAACTCATTGGTATTTTGATGGGATTGCATTAAATCTACAGATTGCTTTGGGCAGTATGGCAATTTAACAATATTAATTCTTTCTGTCCATGAGCATGGCATAGCTTTTGATTTATTTGTGTCTTTTTCACTTTCTTTCATCAATGTCTTAATAGTTTTCAGAGCTCACATCTTTTACCTCCTGGGTTAAATTTATTCCTATTGGTGTCTTCAGGATTTTCTGTATATACTGTCATGCCATCTTCAAATAGTAACACTTTTACTTCTTCTTACCAATTTGGATTCCTTTTATTTCTTTTTTTTTGCCTCATTGCTATGGCTAGGACTTAGCCATAAAGTTAAATAAAAGTGGTGAGAAGGGGCATCCTTCTAAATCAGAAATTATTCCTGATTTTAGAGGAAAAGCTTTCAACTTTTCACTGTTAAGTATAATGTTAGCTGCAGGTTTGTCACATGTGGTCTTTATTATATTGAGATATGTGCCCTCTCTGTGCACTTTGTTGAGAGTTTTTATCATGAGTGGATGTTGCTTTTCAGCATCTATTGCTTTTCAGCATCTATTGAGATGATCATATGGTTTTTATCCTTCCTTTTGTTAATGTGTATCATACTGATTTGTTGATGTAGAATCATCCTTGCATGCCTGGAGTAAATCCCATTTTGTGGTGAATGATTCTTTTAATGTATTTTTGAATTTAATTTGCTCCTATTTTGTTGAAGATTTTACCTCTGTTCATCAGGTATATGGGTCTGTAATTTTCTTTTTTGTAGTGTCTTTGTCTGGTTTTGGTATGAAGATGATGCTGACCTCATAGAATGAATTTGAATTACCTTCCTCTTCAGTGTTTTGGAATGGTTTGAAAAGGATAGGCATTAACTCTTACTTAAAAGTTTGGTGGAATTCTCCTGTGAAGTCATCTGGTCCTGGTATTTGTTGGGAATTTTTGATTACTGCTTCAATTTCATTACTAATAATAGGTCTATTCAGATTTTCTATTTCTTCCTGGTTCAGTCTTGGGATATTGCATGTTCCCGGGAATTTATCCATTTCTTCTAGGTTGTCCAGTTGGTTCGCATATAATTTTTAATAGTAATCTTTTATAATTGTTTGTATTTCTGTGATACCAGTTGTAACTTCTCTCTCATTTCTGATTTCTTTGAGTCCTCTCTTTTTCTTGATAAATCCAACTAAAGATTGATCACTTTTGTTCATTTTTTTCAAAGATACTAAGATTAATTTTTAAAAATAACCTTTAGTTGTTTTTTGATTAAATGGCATTGCATAAGCAGTTTTACATATTATGCTATTAGTTATATATTGATTTCAGAATAAAGACTGTCAGTGTATTTGAGCCGAATCCAAAGAATGTGAGCTTAATACAGATATGAAAAATTAATCTATTTATCCTTCACAGTAAAGAATAGTTTTATTGTAATATTTCTTTATCCAGTGAGACAGAAATAACAAAATACTCTAAAATTTTCTAATGAACTTCACTCTGCATTGTTTTCCTGATATTTACATTGTATTTGACAGCTTAATATAGTACTGTGAGGATAAAATATTTAATCATTGCTCTCCTGTACATGAATGCCTTTTGGGATATGGCGAATTTGAGTACATACACATTTACACTAAAATACCTGGCTTGGGGCGTAAGGGAACAAGTGTTTGAAAGTAGTGCAACACAATTTTCTTTACTGTTCTTTATGTTTTGGCTTATGTGACTTTCGTTCTTGGTGTTTGACCCTTAGATAAAGCAACTGTTTAAAAAAAGATTTTTATTCTATTCTAAGTTGAAATTCTCATCCCACAGAATCTTTTAATGGGTCTCCTACAGGAAGTATAAATTTGGTAAGTACTATTATCAGTACTTTAATTATTAAAGTGGCTTAAAAATAATAAGAAAGGCTGAGCCTTAACATGATGTAAACGAATGATGTATTTGAAGCCCCCAAAACATTCTTTAGTATTATGAGAAGTTATGCTTTTAGAAAAATGTTAAATTCACACATGAGGCCTCTGTGAATTAAAAATTAAAAATTAATTTTCATTTTTAAAAATGAGCTGCAGAGATCACACCTGCAGTATTCAGTTGCATTTGATGAAAATTTATTTTTTTATCCCAATATTTAGTATTTTTAAATGACTCTTTTATTTGTGCTATGATAAGCAGTAAATTTGTGACATATAAATATTTACATTGGAATTAGTTTTTTCTTCTTTTGTATTTGGAAAAGAAATATAAAGTAGTTGGGATATCTGATAACTTCTAGATATTTCTTAAAGTCTATAACATTCAGGTTGTTGCAAAAAAATTATTTTAAGCTTAGAGAGTTTTATAGTGAATTAATGATATACTGTGGTTACAGTTTTAAGAACGTGTTTTTAAACATAAGCTGTCATTGGCATTTACATATATTCAAGGTGAAGTGTAAAATAATGAACATTTCAGTTCTCTTTTCCTTTGAATAACTTATTTCATAAAATGTTCATAGAAAGAAATATTTGTGTTCTGTGAGTTTCATTCTAGAGTTTGTGGGGTTGGGGGTAGGTAGGTGTTTTCTTTCTGCATACATTACCTTTTCTTTCAGACTTTTTGTTATATTTAATTTTGTAATAGTATTGAGTAAATGTTCTTTTACTGTACAAAGAAAAACTTTTAACACAACACTTAAGCAAATAAGCCATAGTGTTGTTAGAAAGTTTGTAACATTCAAAATGTTTTCCTAAATCATTTGATATCACTTCTGTTTACTTGTTATATTCTATAGCTTTATAAGAAAGGGAATGGCTCCTAGAACATGCACTAAGTGTTAGCAATAATCTTATAGAAAGTTTCTATGTGACAAAACTTTTCCTTTATTAGAAATTTTCCAGTATTCACATTTGTGATGCTTATATAAGCATTTAAACACGAGTAAAAAAGTATTTTTTTTCTTTCTTTATTCCATATTGAAATTAAGGCTTTTTCAAATAAGAGAAATCCCTTTTGTTGCATGGTGATATAAAGCAGAACAGTCTCTCAGTTGAAAAAAGGTCACTCTTAAGATCAGTGACTTGCAATATTTTGTTTCATAAACTTATTAAATTTAAACTTTTAAGTAGCTGAAGTCATTTGGCTTCTTTTTTTTTTTTTGCCTCACAGACAAATTTTAGTGGATAGCTGCTTTGTTCAAGGCTTACTTTATGTCTGAATCACAATGTCTAAGTGTCAGAAGTCCCCAAAACCACACACCTATGTTCACTGATTTACTGAGAGAGCTCTTAGGCCTCAGCATAGTCATACTAATGGCTAAAATTTATTACCATGTATGTATGTAAAGCAAAATCAGCAAAGGCAAAAGGTGCTTGGGGCAAAGTCCAGAGGAAACAGGCACAATTTTCTAAGAGTCCTCTCCCATGGAGGTCATAGGACAAATTTAATTCTCCCAGCAATTAATGTGCCATGTGTGAAATGCCACCAGGAAAGCTCATCTGAGACTAAGTGCCCAGGGTTTTTATTGGAGGCACTCTCTGCTTAGTGCATACCAACATTCCAGCTCCCAGAAGGAAAGCAGCTGTTCAGTATAAACCACATTGTTTGTACAGTTTGGGTACAGTCAGTCACTCTAAGCAGTTAAGGAATGGTGAAAAACTTTCATAAATCTAAATGTCATCCAAGAGCCAACCTGGGAAGCAGTCCCTCTAAGGAGAGCAATTTTGTGTTAACTCTTCCGTACAGTCTACTTTCATTATGTGATTATTCTCTCTTTTATGGATGTGTGGGTATATGTGTACATGGCAAAAAAATTTTGAACTTAGATCCAAAGTCCATAATTATAAAAGATTCATTCTGGGTCGATCGGTAATAATTCTTGTGGAACTGTTTTTGAAAATTATTTAAAATCTTTCTTAGGCTATGGAAACACTTCATTTAATAAATAATCATATTTATAGTTAACATTTTTTGGGTTAGGTGGTCTTCTAACATTTAATCCTCATATAATCCTATGACATAGGTACTATTATTATTCTCATTTTATACGTAAGGAATCTAAATTAAATTATTTCCAAATTAATGAAACACTAAGTTAAAAAATACAGAGTTGGCTCTGGTATATTTCAACATTTAAAAAAATTAAACTGTTGACGTAAGAATATGTCTACATATTTTTATGCACACTTTTTTCCATGTATTGAATATAGTCGAGAAGTAACAAATTATAGCATATGGACCAGCAATGAAGGAAGAAATAATCTGATGTATTAAGTTGATTTTTAATTTGCTTTGTTTTATAGTTTCTTAATCTTGGCCCTTCTCTTTCCCATTAGATAATTAGGATTATTATTGGAGGGAACATACAAATAATATAAAGTTTATGTGGGACAAAGATAAGTAATGCATATATGATGTAAGATTCTTTAACACTTATTCCCTATAAAATGTAAAAGTTGTTTCCTTAATTTTTTTTTTCTCAGTCTTTAGATGACCTTTCAAATGTCTCTTCAGATGACTCAGTACAACTTCATGCATACATTTCAGACACTGGTAAGAAACTTTGTGACATAATAATTACTGAAAATTTTTAATCATTGTTACCCCTTCATTATTTTCCACATTTATTTTTGTAAACCATTTACTGTTCTGTGGTAATATTTTTAAGTTACTTTGTTTTCTGCAGCACATTCTTCATTAAATTCTTTGATGTTTGTTTACTTGTGTGTGTGTATTTCCTTTCTCTAAGGTTGTCACTGTTAACACTGGCAAAAGTGTAAAATTCTAAGCCTTTTGTTAGTGCTAATAAACTCAAACCAGTCTTTCCTCTTCACATCTAGCTGATAATTGTTTGTTCCTATTGAATCATGTTGGGACAGATCTTTAGTTCATACTTATTTTCATACATGCAAAGTCAGACTAGATAACTGGATAAATAAAGCTTTGGGTATAGGAATTCACAAAATTTCAGAAATGCTTGGGTGAGGTGAGAAACGCCTAAGATTTTGTGACTCAATCAGCATATGTGCAAAGTGGTTAGTGAGCTACAGGAAAAAGATCAGTTTCCATCTTTGCCATAGGGTTATTAGACAATGTCAATAAGTAGTAGATAATGGTGGTTTTCTTATCTGGCCTCTCATTATTCCTAGAATATAGGAGTGTGTTTGTCAGACTACATACTGAAGTATAAACATACTGAAGTATATTCCTTAGTTCAAATTTAGGCATACATTTTAGATTTTGTTTTTTACTTTTGCTTCATTTCAGATCTTGAAAAGAGATTTTATAATATAAATGTAACATAAAAGATAATTTGCATTTTTACTTAAAGTCTGTTTTCTTTTGCTTTTTATTAAAACTGGAGTCTTATTTTGTATTCTGTTCTCTGCCAAATTTCTAGAATAAGTTATCTATAATTGCTATCTCAATTGTTCCTAATTTATTTTTACAAACAGTTGGTAAATACTTTGTCCTTAAAGGTCATTAGATAACACCCTTGTCAATAAAACCAGAGGTTTGTGGCCTTTCTTTCCAGCTTTTGAAAGTTCTCTTACATTTTCCTCCCTTAATATTTTTAAATTCTTTTAAAAAATCCCTTATTTTCTTTGTTGGCTTATCTTCCAAATATGAAAACCTTTGTTCAAGTGCAAGCATTTGGTATTTGTCCTTTTACTTCCTTCTCAAAGATTTAAACTTTTATGTCTTGAGGAAGATGCTCATGTCCGTGTTCTTATACGGGTCTTTCTCTTCTCTGAGGGTTCTGATTTTCTAGGTGCTTTGTCCATCTTTTCAAAAAGTATTTATTAGCTTCTTAAAATGTGTGAAGTACTACGCTAAGCATTTTTTATAAATTGTTATTTCTGTCAGGCAAACTGATGTATAAATACTAAAGAGGAACCATGGTTAAGAGCATAACTTTTGGTCCAGATTGTTTGGGTTCAAACCCCAGCTCTCTATTTAATAGTTGGGTGAACTTGAGCATGTTCCTTAACTTGTCTTGTACCTCAATCTCATCATCAATAGTAATAGTGTTTATTACTAGTTAACTAATTGCATTAATAATTATATGGGTGGGTACTATGTGTTAGTGTTTGTTCAATAAATATTTAATTGGATTCCAGAGTCTCCGAGTCTAGATCCATGTCCTTAACATCTTTATCATAGAAAATAGAATGTAGTGCACTGTTACTCAAGGACTGGTCCATGACGTGTACGAACTGCTCTCTTCATGAGAAATCTTACTTTAAAAAATATTGACTAAATTAAGCAATGTGTTTATTGACAAAATTGATTGGTTTTCTGGTCCTAGTTCCTTATCTGGTCATGAATTAGTAACAAATAGTTTGCATATCACCTGCTATGAGTAATATTGTCCTAGTGAAAACAGAACATAACTATTTCCGCTATATTATACCACTATATAACATAACTATATTCCTCACCACTATCTCAAAATCAGTACATGTAATCTCATTATCTTTTAAAATCAAATAATCTTCTGTCTTCTGCACTTCTTTTATAACAACCTCATTATTCTTCCAAATGTGCATACATCCTGGTCATGATCTCCCCTGCATACTGTTACATGACAAATCTGATTTTTCTTTTTTAGAATGCTTTCTTCTATTCATCTCTTATTTTCTTTTCTATCCCTTGTTTTTCTCCTGGCTCTTGCTAATGCCTAATTGGTTATGGTTTGCTGCCTAATTGGCCTCTGCTTTCTGTTTTCTTTTACCAAATGTGTCCTGAACATAACAGAGAAAGCCATTCCCTTGTTGTCATGCTAACTGTTGAGTAATGGGGATTCTGTTAACATGATGAGAAGGTGTTGTGTAGTGTGTTCTACACAGGTCCCTGAGAGAAGAGATTGGAAGAGGTGAACAATGAATACTAGTTTTACCTATTTTTAAAGCCTCTAAAAGCAAGATGGTCATGTTTTGTCAAATCAAGAACACCAATATTACAAGGAAAGGGCATGAAAGATAATTTTTGTATAGAAAGTGCAAGTCCTAGAAAAATTTTGACAGAAGCTCAGAGAGATTTCTGTTCAACTACATTTGCCATAGATTTCTAGTTTTTATGGGATTAAAATACTTTACTAAGATGCTACAAATACTCTTCTTTGTCTAATTATATACAAAATCCCAAATATTTAGTCAACTCCACAACTTGGCCACTTTTTCCCACAACCCCCTAGTTATGAAACAGAACAGTATAGTCTGTTATTATAAGAACAAGTTAATATTTCTGTTCAATATTGTAGCCTAATTTGCCATGGGAAATCTTGCCTCCCATACACAGAAAGGCTGAAAACAATAAAATAGCCAAAGAAGGAAATCTACACTTGGCCATAGACCATGTGGAAAAACAAATTTAAGGAAGTAAAGAGGAATTGAATCCAAGGAACTAATTGGAGCATAAAGACAGCTATCTTGATTTTGACTGCATTTTTATGCCCACAAGTTTAGGAGAGACCTAGTGAGCAAAGCCTTGGAAACCTGGAACCAAGTGCTTTGCATAAAGCCCAGAATCACGAAGTGTGCCTTGATGTGAAAGAGGAAGTAGAAAAATTTAGTGTACTGTCAAGGGAAAAAGCAAAGAATGTCAAGATCATAGTTTGGAATGGTGTCTGTCTCCCATACAGAACTGAAAGCCTGTTTGTATCTCAGCGTGGGTATATCCAAGTTCAGCCATCCACAAGTCATGGTTTCCTAGTCAGAAAGAATGCTGAAAGTATTCATAGAGATAAAATCTAAGGCAAGAATACAACACTGTGAAAAAAGAACCAAATAAAATTAAGAAAATCAAAAAATACAATGATTGAAATTAAGGTCAGTGGGTGGATTGAGAAATAGGCTAGATCCAGATAAGTGGAGACTTGGTAAACTTTTGGAGACCTGAGGAAATGATCTAGAATAGAAATCGAAAGAGATAAGAAATGAAATATAAGAAAATGAAAAATAGGAAAGACAAATCAAAGAAAATAATTCCAAGTATATTCTTTACTTAAGATTAGTACAAAATGGGAACTGGTTTGATTTTAGGGAATACCTGATTTGGGTGGCTTGTGGCAAATCAGCAGTAAAATGCCTCTAAGCTCCAGAGTAAACTACACTTGTAAATGTTGAATATTATAATTTAGAAAGACTTGCCAAAAGAGCAGGTAAATCTTAATTCTGTGGCTTTTGCTTTTTGTTTAGTTGAAGAGATTTTAATTGAAATACAACTAAGTAGTGAAGGTTAGTACAGAAAGTTACTTAGTTAAATTAAGGAGATTCTAATAGTATACTATGAGGTAACATAACTGAATAATAGGTATAAGTTCTTTGGGAAGAGTCCAAAGTAGGTATCACTGTGTGGTTGGTAGTGTCATGATAAACTTGCAGTTTGTTTTATAATGTAGCCATCATAGTAACATCTAATAGATGTGAGTACAGAAGATGGGAATCTATTTTATTTCTTTGTGACATCCTTTTGTCTCAGTCTGTCATTTCAAATTCTTCATTTCATGTTGTCCTTTTTGTTTTTACTCTTCATCTTCCTCCTTTCTGTGTCTTTTGTTCTTCGTTTTGTTTAAAATGACTAGTGTATGCTGACTATGACCCATATGCTGTGGCAGGCGTTTGTAATGATCATGGCAAGACATACGCATTATATGCCATCACTGTGCACCGGCGCAGTCTGAACAGTGAGGAGATGTGGAAAACCTATCGTCGTTACAGTGACTTCCATGACTTCCACATGAGAATCACTGAACAGGTAATGAGGCCTTTAAAGTTTGTATACTTTACTTTGTTTCCTGATTTCATGTTTGATTCTAAATAGTTGTGAGGATGCTAAGGTAATTGCCCAAAACTAATGAAAGAAGGTATGAATTTCTGCATTAGTGTAAACGTTTATGATTATGAGCCTTTAACCAATAAATCAAACTTTAACCAGTGCTAACAATTGTGGACTAATGACAAAATACCAGTGGTATACCCTGGAAAATTAAAATGGGTATATATCTTTTATTTTAAGAGGTGTGTATGGGGGGATACTTTCAAGACATATTTGAGTTTGGTTTAAAGTAGGGGTAAGAGATCATTGTAGGACATTTTGTAGTCTTGTGGTAAAATTCAGAGTTGTAATTATTTTAAATAGCGTCCTTATCCAACAAATAGTTAATTCCTTGATCTGTTATTTTAATGACCACAACCTGAATTAAATAAATTAACCAAGTAATGTTTTTAATTCTTACTAAATATAGTTCTCTTGTTTTATAGAAGTATAAGGAATCTTAAAGATAACAAAAGTAAAATTATTTCTCTGTTCTATTTCTTGTTAAATATTTTTTTCTTCTTAACCTAGAAAAAAATATTTCCAGATGAATTGGAACAGGTGATCTATGAAATTTATCTTATGTCTTAGGAGTCTTTGATTTCATTCACTGTTTTTAAACATACAACTATTATTAATCCAATAAAAATAATAATAGTGACATGTGGATTGACTAAAGCTTTGAAATAATGTTGTACTACTTTAGTAATCAGAAATATCTTTTTAAATTAAGATAGTGGAAAAAATAATGGTTGACACCATGGTATTATCATTAAAATATTTTGTGAATAGAGTGAGATAAACTTTTAAGAGCTTAAGAGTGATTGAAAATAAAAGGTTAATGTTGATGCCAATGACCATATTAAAAGCACTTTTTAAATTGTATTCATGAGAAAATAACTTTGGACATGTCTGGTTTTCTCTTATTGTTGAAAAAATTAACATCTTCATTTGTTTTTTCACATTTAGTATGATTTATTTACAGAAATGAAAGAATTTTCACTCTACATTAAAGAAGTAATTAGTCCTAAAAATATTACCTGTTTGATATTGTTTTAAAGTCAAATAGCTCATATATCTTCTTCTTCCCATCTTTGACCAAACTTGACAAATTTTAAGATAATTTGGATTACTGAGAGTAGTTTAATTTACTTGCAGATTAATAGGAATTTGGCATAATATGACAATTTCTTTGTGTGAATAGCTGTAATTTTCTTTATGCTATTAAAAGGAATAGTCATTGCCTACTTAAATGTTGTAGGCTAGGCCTACTGTATTCACAATTGACAAATACGAATGAAGATCATACTTTTGAAAAATTTATTAATAGAACAGTTCAGATGAAAATATCCCTTTTCGATATAGCACCAAAAAGTTAAGTGAAATTAATAAAGCACAATTCATTTTTTATTTGCATGTGAAGTAGATCTCTTCTGAACTTAGTGTTTCCTAAAAGTCATAGTAATGTGGAATTACTTAAGTATTTAGATTGCTCACAAATCTTAAGAAATTAAAAACTAAGGTGGTAAGTGAAAATTTAGGTTTAAGCAAAATACTAAGTAAGCATTTGTTAAGTAAGACTCAGGCTGTTTGCCTTTTAGCTCTGTTGTATCTATAGTTTTTAAACTCAGATCCCCTATAAAATAGCAAAAGAAAATGGTGACTTGTAATTTACCATTTTATAATAGTGCAACCTGTTGACACAAATTTTAAGTCCTTAGATTTCTTAAAGTATTTTTTTAAAACAGGTTTCATTTTGTTTTCAACTTTGTGATGTAAATTTTCATCCAGTCTAAATATATGAACTATTGTTTATTTTCTTTAAAAAAAATTGAGTGGTCTAATTTGATATTTTATGTATAAAGATTTATAAAATCAAAAGAAAATAATTAAAATGTTAAGTGTCATATTATTTTAGAATTGGCCTTAACTATGCATTCAGGTTATTCAACAAGTATGTTTTGAACCTTTCCAGTGTGCCTGATATTTGCAGTTTTGAGAATGTGATAGTGAACAAGATAGACCAAGTCCTTGGCTCTGGGAGTTTACATTCCAGTAGATATTGTACTTTTCTGTTTTTTGGGCAAAGTGTGTAAATACTAGTGGCTTATACATTAAGTTACCTTAATGCTAACTGAGTAAAAGTATTTATCTACCACATATAAATGAATTTTGAATCCTGATGGTGTAAAATATCAGGCATGCTTTTTAAATTTTCAAGCACTGTATTAGGAATCTAAACCTACAGACTCAGTGTAGAAAGATAAAATCTTTGATTTTGGAATGTCTATGATTTATGTATAGTATTTGAATTTTTTGTGAACATTGAAATACTCTAATTTATATGAGTTCTTCCTTTAGGTAAATTTCTAATTTCTTTTATATGCCTTTTAAAAATATTTTAATGAATTTTTGGCAGGGAAAATTATATTACTTTTTAGGGAATGGGCTTCTTTTACTTGTATTTAGAAATAATCTTTTAAATACCAAGCTTGCAATGAATTAATATATAATATAAAATTTCCCCATTTTTCCCTTACCTTCATAATAAAGGTGTTTTTAGAAAACTCTTAGTCATATATGCTTCTGTTCCAGTTTGAAAAAGAGCTTTTGATAATTGAAACTTTCAGAAAATAACTGCTATTGTGACATGTAATTTTTTTCTTTTTATTAATAAAGTTTACTATTTTAGAGTTTCTGAAATAAATTGTTTTACTGGATACTGTTATGTTTCCTTGGTGTTTTAGCTTGTAAAGTCTGCCATAACAAAAACACAGATGGACAGCTTAAGCAACAGAAATTTTTTTTCTTACCGTTTTGGAAGCTGTAAGTTCAAGATAGAGGTGTTGGCAAATGTGCTTGCTCCTAAAAATGTCTCTCCTTGGCTTTCGGATGGCTGCCCTTCTTGCTGTGGCCTCATATGGCATTTGTTTGTGTGCTTACATCTCTGGAGTATCTTTGTGTGTCCAGATTTCCTCCTCTTATAAGTACAGCAGTCAGATTAGATTAGGGCCCCACTAAGGGCTTCATTTTAGTTTAATCACCTCTCTCAGAGCCCTATCTATAAATACATTAATGTTCAGAATTATTGGAGCTTATACTGATAGATAAGTAATAGTCCAGCAAATATCTTTTCGGGTACCTTGAAAAAGTAAATTTTCTTCCGTAAGGTATGCTTTTTTAAAAATTTGTGAAACGAGGTACTCTCCATTGTACATTTGCTATCAGTGCAGACCCATTCTAATACTTTGTGAACCACCAAATTTGTGGATATCACTACAACATAACATTTTTTCCTGTCACTCCCCATTCTTGTTTTTCTTATCTTGGCTGAGGCAAAAGGGCTGCCTTTAGTTGTCATGTGTAACATACCATGAACTTATTGACATTATAGGTTCAAGCAACTATCTGATTTGTCATTACATTTAACAATTATCAGAATCTTCCAGTTTAGGCATGAAAATTATCCTACATTTTTTCATTTCCTCTGATTTCATCTCTACACCAGGAATGAATTTTCTTTACAGAAGCAGAATTGTTGTTTTTATTAAAAAATGGTTTTAGAAAGCTTGTTTCACTTCAGGAAATGTATCACATGGGAAAAGCAGTAAAACCGCTTGAAGTTTCAGATACAGGTTGTTGGCCAGGCAGTCAATAATAGCTCAATGACTTTGCTCTTACACCATGTTAGCAGCTAGTATGGTTTCAATCTGCACTTTATGGGGGCACAACAGATTACTACATATCTGGACCTTTAAAGGTGCCCCCAAATGTTAAGTCTATAAGGGCTAGATTTAGTGTATATACACTTTGTTTTTGTGGCTTTACAAAGATAAGATACATGCTGATGGCACTTAATTTTTTTTCTCAGTTACCTATAAGTTTATTTTGCGTCTAGTTGGTGGGGAACAAGTATCAGTGTTGTATATACACATGTTGTTATAGTTGTATATACACAGAGTTGTGATATAGCTGTAATCTATATTTTAAACTTTGCCTTTTCTACTTTTAAGAATTAGCCATTATAATGATTAATTGATTTGAAGTCATCAATATTAAAAAATATTTGTGAGTTTAACAAGGCAGGAACTCATAACTTTGATTATTAAAATCATATTTGTTAATGCTTTATTGACAGGTCAAAGGATTGTTAAGGAAAATATTTTTAAAAACCTTTTATTATGAAAATTTTGAAAAATCTTGAACTTACAGAGTATTAAAATGAAATCCCATGTGGACATCACCCATCTTCATCAGTTATCCATGTTTGTCATTCTTAATTGAAAATACTTCTTTATAATAAATAACAGTAGAATTGTGATTGCACAACATTTTTCTATCTCTGGTTTTGCTCAATATAATAAAATATATTACAAAATGGTCTGTCCAAAATGCTTTTGTTATGTAGAGGAATTGTCACTTAGAAAATGCTTTTCTAAATAAAAAACTAAGATTAAATGTATTTTGTCTTATAGTTTGAAAATCTGTCAAGCATATTAAAGCTTCCTGGTAAAAAGACTTTTAATAATATGGACAGAGATTTTTTGGAAAAGAGAAAGAAAGATCTAAATGCATATTTGCAGGTAGGTCAGTCTATTACCCGTAGATCATGATTTTCATATAGCGCACAGATACAGTAGATTTCTTTTATTAAAGAATGTTTTTTATATAATTATGGGATGGCAGCCACTTTTGAGTAGCATGTCAGATATGATCTGCAATCTGCTCAGTAATTTATAAATACTATTTCTGATACTGCTTACCTAGAAGTTTTCTGGACACTTAGTACTACGGATTTTGCTTCTTCGTGTTTAAATGAATCTACACATATAGGCATACATACCCATTCTACATTACTGTAAATTCTAGGTATTAAGTCGTAGACTAAGCAGTTAAACGTTTCCAATCAATGGATGGTAGCTCTTCATGGTGTATCCAAAGCAGAATTTTATTCCCAAGTAAATGTGTGTAACTGCCTCCCATGGTTCAGAATGAGTCTACAGCTTCTAAAATTATAGGATTATTCAAGAGAGGAATAGATCTGAGGGACTTTTTCTAATGGGTAGCATCCTAGGCATATAGATTTGTCTTGTAGAATAACAAAATATGTCTCTTATTGTATAAGCTATTAGGACTCCCAGAAATAACTTTGTTTTAGACCTGGGTACCCAGATGCCAGACATAATAATAATATCACCTTATAGCTGTTTATACTAATGAATGTTGTAAAGGTAGCTGTGCTGAAAGTCAAAATAGCATATGGGAAGAATATATATAATAAAGAATAATATATACCAAATTTAATGGTCATAGAATTATTTATTGATTATTTTAACTGTATAATTGTTTCTTAAAATATAAAATTAAATTTCTATACATTCTTGACTTTCTAGCATGAAATTATAAATAAAAGTTAATTTCCAGTGCCCTTTCAATGTAAGATACCTTTTTTTCCTGTTAGTTACTGTTAACTCCTGAAATGATGAAAGCATTTCCAGCTTTGCCTCACTATGTGTATGATTTCCTTGAGAACAAAGCCTACAGTAAAGGGAAAGGAGATTTTGCTCGCAAGGTAAGGAGACTAATGCTTTGGTTTTTTATAGATCTCTTTTTATACTTTGTCTTTTAATGAAAGAAAATTATATTTTTATGTTTGAAAACTAGAAAATTTTATTAAATGCTCCTGGTCATGTTTATCTTCTATGCTTTAAGCCTACTATTGAAAGACATATTTAATAAGTATAAATTTATGTTTTTATATGTAGATAAAACCAACAGAAACTGCTTTGAAAGAAAAAAAATTTTTTTGAAATGATGCAGGAAGGAAGGTTTGCCTAAGACAAGTCACAAGCTTTTTATTAGCTTCTGAAGGAATTATTTCTTACTGGGAGTAAACGTCTTTTACTTGGAGTGAGGATAAGAAAAATGTTAAAGAAAGTGTGCCTCTTAAGTGAAATCTTTTTTTTTAAATTCCTTTGTGGATATAAGACCTATACTTGGAATAAGATGTTAAGACAATAAATCATTAAGTGCTCAAGTTAGGCAAGATAGTTTAGTGGGTGAGAATACAACAAACTTTGGAGCTGCAATATGTCCCTTAATCTTTTGGTCCTTTAGTTTTTCCAAGAAGTGAAGATGCTAATCCTCACTTTACAGCATTGTGTGAATCAAATGAGATAATCTGTGTATCACAGTGCCTGGCACATAATTAACCTCAGAATAAATGTTGGCTCTTAGTAGCAGTAGTAGCAAGAACAGTAAGAGCAGTTGGGGAAGCTGGGTGAAGAGTGTGTAGGACTTCTTTGTATTATTTTCTCAACTTCTTGAAAATCTGCAATTATTTCAAAATGAAAATTGAAAAAAAAAAAAAAAGCCTCCCCTGCCACTTCTCTCCCCAAAAAGGACTTTAAAAAAAAAAAGTATTAAGGAATTGGTACAAAATCGATAAAAATCAACAGCTGTAAGCATAAGAATTTCTCATGATTACTCTAACATGCTGGGTTTTAACATCCAAGTGGATGTTAACGTTTTTAAGGAGAATGTTGTAATAATTCAATATTGTGTACCTTATATATAATAATGGGGAAAAAATCTGGTGCCCTTAATCTTTATCTTTCATGGTGGAAATTATTGAGTTTAGATTACAACTCGAAATACTTTGTCAATAGAGATGTGTTCTATTATTCTATCTTTTTTTACCTAATTTTCTCTCTTAAGATTACATCAATTTTAAGATTAATAAATTGTTAGCAGCTTTTTGAGATTAAAGAAGCATTATATTAATTGTATACTATTTTGTTTTATCAACCAAACAGGTTATATATCACTTTTTTAGTAGATTACTACTGGATTATAAAGAGCCTTCTGAATAATTTCTGGAAATTCGTAGTTACATATGTTTTTCATAAATCACATCAGTGATCACCAACATTATCTTGATCTCTTTTAGATTGTCAGGATAATTTTCATTCATATCAAGAATTAGGGGTTTTCAGCTTTATTTTCTTTTTGGCCAAATTACAATTTAATATTTTAAATATTTCACTGGAAATTATATAGCTATTAGAGAAAATCATCTTCAAACATTTTATATCTGGCTGTTGAGAGCTTGAGAAATAATACTTTAGAACACATTATCTTGGTCACACAATTTTTTTAGCTTTGCAAAATCTGTAGGCCAATTCTTAGAAAGAGTAACTGAACAAGCAAGTCTTCCTCTAGGCCCACAATATCTTTCTATCCAGTTTTATATCAGTGAAAGCATTTTAAGCTATAGTTAGGTGCCTACATTTAAGTTAAAATTCCTTTGTGTTCTTGCTAATCAAATAACTCAACTGAAGTGGTAATTGAGTGAAGACTGTCTATGTAAGTCAGAGAAAGTGTACTCTATACATCCATAATTTACTCTTCTGCTTGCTAATTTGCAAGTTTCTGTATATTTTTGTTTTAAACATCTGTTTTAAGCAAATCCTGTTTTTGGAAATGTTATCATTCAGTGATGGACTCTGCTTTTGTGCTTCTAAAATTCTGCTTTCTTCAGGGTTAGGCATGAGAAGCACAGGTGGAGGGAGGTTTTCTCATCACCTTTGCTCTCCCATTCCTCCCTTCCATTGAGGGCTCCTGTTCTCCTCTTCCAGTGAGGGTGCCTGGACTGTACTTCAGAAGCTGAAAAACAAATGCATACATACATAGAAGGAAAGGAAGGAAGGAGAAAAAAATGGATTCTCTTAAGTCTGGGATGGTGCACAAACAACTGATTTTAATTATTATCTAATTCATGAATAGATTTCGGTTCTCTTAAGAGTATCAGTGGTAGCTTAGCCCATATCTAGGTAGCATGTGAGCTTGTATTCATTTAACCAACTCTAAAGATTATATTAGCTGAACACACATTTCTAATGTGAAGTATAAGATATATGTAAATTCTAGAATATTTTTGAGGTTGCACAAACAATTTTTAATTGTAGGTTGTTGATTAAAGTGAAATTCATGCCTTTCATGCTTCTAAACTTTTACCTTTACTATGATAGAGATGTGGCAATTTTCACTTAAGCTGTATGTTTTAAATGTGGTATTCTCACGTTTGTCTCTCAAGAATTCTACTTCTGCTTTCATGACACAAGTTACATATCTTACCTATATATCTTAGGTCTTTTATTTATAATAATATTACAGTTTTTAAAAACACTTGACAGTGATGTCAGTGTTGAAAGTAATACCCTGATTGATTTGAACACACTTTTCTGGTTAACCAAAAACCACTGCATGTCAGATTAGAATTACATACACACACAATACACATGAGTCAGCTTCATCTATCTTTTTCTCTCTGTGTCTCTCTACCAGTGTAGTGCTTTTCAGACCCTTCCTCATCCTCATTTCTATCCTTTGGTTCTACTCTGAATTGTTTCACTGTGACAGTGGCCCTCTTAAAGGGTTGCATATTCCATCAATCACATCCATGGCACTGTTGGCTCCGTAAAAGCCAGAGAATACCTAGAAATCCCAACACTTTTACAGTTACCTTGAAATTCACTTTTTGTTGTTGTATTCATTTTATGTTTTCTATTTTTTCATAATGAAAGCATATTAGAGTGAATGAGTTAAGGCTTCTTAATATCAGCTGTTAACATTGTGCTATGTTCCTTAAGTGGTAGGGTTGGTTTTTACTACTATTTCATTTTCTTTTTTTCCATGGAGAGTAATTTATTTTTGTGGTGGTTTTTATGAGACTCAACACTTTCTGGAAAATTTTCTTGTAGTTTTATATTACTTTCATTTTGTATCCTTTTATTTTTTCTGTTAAAAATCTCAGTTCTGTAGGCAGCTACTTTGTGGTTTCTTTAGATGTGTCTCCTTTCCTTAATTGAAATGATCTGGCATGTGTACAGTTAGAATGTCAATTTTAATGTTACTTGTCCCTCTGGAGATTATTCGTTTTTGTATCTCTGATCATATTTTCTTCTGTAATTTCTCTATTCTGCTTTACCTAAAATGTTTTACATGTCTGGTTTGTAACTTCTCCTTGTCTTCTTTGTAATGGATTCCAGATTCCCTTCATAGAATCTAATTGCATATGTAATGTATCATAAAATTATTTTTAAATAAAACTTAGTTACTTGTTAGTTAGTTAAACTTTATATTTGTTAATCTGCTTGTTTATTACTTTTCAATATTTCCTCAAAATATCTATATAATTGGTGCCTTGAATTATGGCAGAAGTATGTTGTGGTTAATTCCACTTGAATCAATTTCTATTTTGGGAATTCTCAGAAATTTTTCAGAATTTCTTTAATAAGAAAACAGCCAAAACTTATATTCATTTTCTAGCAATAGCCTTATCACTCCATTTTTAAATTATATATTTGTGTGTAAAAATATGATTTTTAGATATACTGAAGACAGCAATTCTATACATTTAATTTGCAGTAAAATGTTACTGACTGGAAAACTACTGCATCTTTCATTTATTGCACTCTGTATTTTCCCAGGCTTCACATTTGAATAACAATCTTATACAATTAAGTCTGATATAATATCTTTTTCCCTTTAGATGGACACTTTTGTAAATCCACTTCGAAATTCTATGAGGAATGTTTCAAATGCAGTTAAATCCCTTCCTGATAGCTTGGCAGAGGGAATGACTAAAATGTCGGACAACATGGGAAAAATGTCAGAACGATTAGGTCAAGACATAAAGCAATCATTTTTCAAGGTAAGAAGATGTTTTCAGTAATGTCTAAAGCAAAATATTTTTAAGTCAACTAAGATTTATTGAGCCCCTGGTTAGATTTACCTTATTTCTTTTCAGAAGTCCAAAGCCCCATAGTCATATAGTTTCATAAAGAAAGAAAAAATTAATAAAAGAGAATAATTCTTATCTGCAAAACCCAGTCACTTCTCAGTTCTCTGCTATGGTAGAATTTTCAAATGCACTTAAAAAAATATTTGAAATTAATACTAAATTAATGTGCTGTGTACTGCTTTAGTCCCTATGCCATTTTTATCCTACAAAGCTGTTAAATTTTATAACAAAATAAGTACTGTTGTACAAATTAGTTACACTAGTATTCATCAGGAAACAAAGTCTAATTTCTCTTGATTGACATGATCAAATGAAAAGATCAGAAGGAGCAAAAGTCTTTTGGCATTGTCAGTGCCTCGGCCCCACCTATGCACCTGTGAGTGGCATAGGAGAGTTTCCTGTGAAGCTTTTTCATTATGTTAGCAGGTACAGTAGTGGCCCAGTAGTTTGTTCCTTACTAATTTATATTTTTTATAATGCTGGCCTAGTTTAAGGTAATAGTCAAGACTATACAAGAAAACATACAGCTCTTAGAGTTTTTTATTTGTTAGATTATGTTTGAATGAAGAGGAAATAACATGTCTTTACTGTAAGAGACAACTCCTAAAATAGTGTGTAAATCATACTTTTTTTTATTAATTTGAATATTTTCTTCGATGTTTCATCTTTATTTCTAATCATGGAAAGTGCACTAACACTGAAATGAATATTGTCCAGTGTCACATCTGCTTATAACTACTTGTATATGACTTCACACAAAAGTCACTGAATTTTTCCAAGCTCCTCTTTCCTCACCAGCAATATGAAGGGGTTATCCATAGGTGATCTTGATGATCCCTCTTGTTCTGACAATTGATAATCAGCTAACACTAGTCCTTCTGTCCTTTTTCTCCGTAACTTACACTCTCTAACAGTTAATTAGATCCTGAAGCTTACTAACATACTCTTAAGCTCTTAATGGTAAAAGAAAAGAAGTTCTGTTCTCTGGCTGTGCAACTAACTTTTTGTTTTTAAATGACTCAACTTTGACATTCTTCTAAAAAAATATAGGAGTTTGATTTATCTCTTCTAACAAAAGTCAGTCTTTTTTTTAAAGGAAAAAAAAATCTTGTAATGAAATAATCACCCTTTTAAATTTGGTTTCTAATTTTAGATTGTTAATACTTTGTTAATACTATGTAAACTTTATATTTTGTCCCAAAATAAGATAAAACACCATTTATTATGCTTGGTACTCATTTTGGTTTATTATCGTATTTTGTTCTTCCACTGTCTGCTTTAGTGTGTTTGCCTTTTTTTTTTTAATGTTAGGTGCCACCTTTAATTCCGAAGACTGATTCTGATCCTGAACATTGTCGAGTCTCAGCTCAACTTGATGATACTGTGAGTTAATTTTTTATGTGGTAGTATTCAACTGTAATTCAAATCATACTTGACAGATCTTTATAACTTTTCAATGACATACAATATGTATACCTATCATTAATATTGTGTCAAGTTTGCTGAATTCTTACAAGCTGAACATGCCCATGTAATCAGCATTCTAAAAAAGAAACGTTCAGAACAAGTACCAGTACCCCAGAAAGCCCCTAATGTTCTCTTCCTGTCACTGTTCTCTCCTCTACCAACGATAATCACTCTCCTGACTTCTACCCTGCTTTTATACTTTAAATAAATGAAACTGTAAGGTATGTATCCTTTTTTTTAAACATTTGGCTTTTTTTGCTCAACATTGTAATATTTTTCCATGTTGTTTTGTGTGATTATAGTTTCTTCATTCTTGTGGCCTTATATTACCCCATTTTATAAACATAGTACAGTTTATTTGTATTGTATTATGAACAGTTCTCCTACGAATATTCTGGTATATATCTTTTGATTTAAAAAAATTAGTAATGCCATTTCTGTTGGGTCTATACCCAGGAGTGGAATTGCTTGGTCAGAGGGTATGCGTAAATTCAGTTTTAATAGATATTCAGTTTAATAGATATTCAGTCAAATAGCTCTCTATAAAGTGTTTGTACTGCTTAACACTGCCACCAGCAATGCATGAGAATCCCAGTTCCCCACAGCCTGCCAATACCCAGTATGTTGTGCCTTTTTTATTTTAGCTATTCTGGTTGTTGTAGCTCATGTGGATTTCCATTTCTCTGATGGCTGTTGATATGTTGAGCCCCTTTTCATATGTTTATTGGCCATTTGGCTGTCTTGTCTTTCCCCCATTTTTCTGTTGGCTTGGCTGTCTTTGTCTTTTTGATGAGTAAGAGTGCTTTATATAATCTGAATATTGGCTCTTTGTCAGATATAAGTATTTGTGTATTGTGAATATTTTCTACTTTGTGTGATTTTGTGCAGTGTACCTATAATCTGCCTACTGCATGGTCACAAAGATGTTCTCCTATGATTTTCTTTAAAAATTCTTTTTGTTTTACCATGCCCAAATTTAGATTTGCCATTCATCTAGGATTGATTTTTGTATATGGAATGAGGGAGGGGTCCAGTTGACATTAGCGCCATTTACTGAGAAGGTTCCCTGTTCCCTAGGGTACTATGTTTCTCCCTGTCACAAATCAGATCATCATGTATGTTTGGGTCTGGGCTCTGTGTACTGTTATTAAGCAGATTCATTTTAAAGTTACAATGATCTCCCTTCAGTTTCTCATTTAATTTCTTTATAACAAGCTGTCTTAAACAAAGATAATGTTTTTATTTGCTTTTTCAACATTTTAAATGTTTAATTGAGTTGTTGTAGTATAATATCCTATAATATCCTTAACATCATACCTTTTGTCAAGAGTTTTTACCGTTTAACTGTTTATTAGAATTGTCATTGGCTCCAAACTCATGAATGTACTCAAGAGAATAGAGCAGTATTTATTTTTCCTCTGTAATGAAATGTGTCTCTCTCCTGACCCCACCCTACCCCCTGTTAACTACCTCCGACACCTGTTTGGTTAAGCTATGAGCTTTCAATATGTGAAAAGGAGGGTGCACTAAGAAAATGTTTACAACATGTCAGTGAAAAATGAATGTCTCATGGTAGGTTTCCTCAATATTTAAATTACCACGTTGATGAGAAAATATTGGAAGGAGTATCTTAATGTATTTTTCATATCAAAGCATTCTGCTTGTTTTCGTTTCCTTTTTACGTCATTAACTGAATATTCCCATAGTAAAAAGTGTCTAAGTTTTTACTTACTAAAGGTTAAAAGAAAATTCTAGTAGCTTAGTGAATATGCCTTTTGTAACATTAGCTTATTTGTGTACTGAGTTTTAGTTCAGCTGCTTTTTCCTAAAAATGTATAAAACTCACTAAGAAAAACATGTTATTCTTTGTAGATTGGGTTTGTTTTATTAAATAAGGAGAAATATGTTGGGAGTGTTTTGTTTTGTTTTGTTTTTTAAAAGATGCCCCCAGAAAATAGGCGAAGAAGCTGTCATTTGCTCTATCAAGCTAGTACAGACACTATAATAAAAGAGGCAAATCATGTTTTCCTAAGATCATCATGAATCCATTTTGAGAAATGTTTTCATTACAGCCTTGAAATTTGCTCAATCCTTGTAAGGTTGTAGAATTTTGCATTCTGTAGTCAAAGTACTGTTAAAAATATTTTTTTTTAATTAAAATGAAATGTCACAGGTTATGAAATCAATCGTATAACTTATTCTCTGACTTGTGAAATAGTAGCAATTATTTTGTAAAAGCAGCAGAGGTAGACATTCATAGTAGATAGGTAACTCAAATAAACATACCCTCATTTCTTGCCATATTTTGTCAGGTGGATGACAATATTCCACTCAGAGTGATGCTGCTTCTCATGGATGAAGTATTCGACTTAAAAGAGAGAAATCAGTGGTTGCGAAGGAACATAAAAAACCTTCTTCAACAGCTGATAAGAGCCACCTATGGTGATACTATTAATAGGTACCACTTTTTTTTTTCCCTCACTTAGAGCTGATTTTATTTAGCTTTTAAGCTTTTACTTGTGGAAGTAAGATTACTCAACCTATATAGGAGAATTTCCTTCTCTGTGCCTTTTAAGATCATTGAAGCAGTCCAGTGCTCTCAGATAATTTACAAGTTAAGTTGCTTACTCCATGAAAGTAGTGTTTCTTTATTTTATTCGCCTTCTAAGATTTTGACCTTACTTAATTAAGTCTCTTTACTTTCAGAAAAATAGTTGACCATGTTGATTGGATGACTTCACCTGAGCAAGTAGCTGACTTAGTGAAACGTTTCAGGTATATTTTAAGACACAGTTACTTCTTTCAGGTAGTACAGGGTTTAGCACTGTTATCACTAATTAACCTTCATTGCTTTTCTTTTCTTCATGGCCATAAAGTTGGTTTTAGTCATCACTGGTCAGCAAAAAGACTTGTAAGAGTTACAATAAACATTTGTCCCAGGGACCCATTGATCTTTGCTTCTTTTAAATAAAAAAAGGAGAAAGTGTAAAAGTCTTTAAGATATTAGGCTACATTTTGTCTCAGTTATGTGGTCTTTAAATATTAATGTAGATATGGCATGACCATATAATCAAATACTTGGTTTTGGGGATTAATTTTTCTCAGTTATATTTGCTAACCTTGATTTTAAATGAAAATTTAAAAAATAAATATATCTCTGGCTGTATTCTAAGTTTTATTAGTGATTTGAACCTCTAAAAAGAATGCAAATTAAGATTCAGTGGTACTCCAGTTCATATATTCATTCTACAAAAATATTCTGAGCCCCTCCTGTGTGCCTAGCACTTTGCCAATCACTGGGGACTGAGAGGTAAGATGCAGTCACTTCAAGGAAAGCAGGACATGGTAGAGATACAAACATCTTCTCTAGAAGTTGAAAGTTCAGCAAGGCATAAATATTCATGGCATCATGTATTTTGAAGTAAGAGAGGCATGAAGAGAGCTATCAGTATTGAACACTAGTTTCTTGGTGCTATGCCAACTACTTTATGTATACTTTCTGATTTATCCTTTTTTATGACATAGGGATTTTTGTCTCCATTTTGTTATGTGGAAACCGAGGATTAGAAAAGTTAAGCAGCTTGCCCAAAGGCTCATGTGCTGGAAAGTGGAAAATAGATTTCTCTAATCTGAAGCTAAGTTTCTCCTCACTGGACCATACTGTTTCCAAAAGTCAGACCACCTGTCCTGGCACGTTCATTCTCTTTCAGAGTAGGTAAATGATGTTCCTCAGGAGCAGTGATTCTCAGTCTTGGCTACTCATTGGAATCACTCGGAGAGCTTTAAAAAGTACTGATTCTTGGATCCCATCAGCAGAGACTCTTACTAAATCTGTTGGAAGGCCTCTGAACATTAAGATTTTTTAAAGCTCCCAGGTAGTTTCTACTGTGCAAAGTTAAGAACAGCTGCTCAGAGGAGTAATCCTCCCTCAGACGAAATTCCCAGATGGAAGCTTAGTTACTGTACTCAATTCCTTCCCCTGGCCAGAGACCTAGGGAACAGGAGTCAAGTACACTGTGAAAGTGAAGGAGAATGGGTTATGAGAGGAACATTGTCATCAATCCAGCTGGAAGGTATGGACACCGAACTTGTTTTACATCGGCTCAGTCGTGAGGAAACTCAGGGAAATTAAGGTATCCAGATTCAGTATATTGTGAGGATGTATTTAGATGAGATGTTCAATTTAGCGAGGAATGTATGCAAAATACACAATGCCATTTTGCATATATTCCATTTTGCTCTCTTTATCGTTTGTTAGTGTTTACAGATTATTCCAGGGCAGAGATCATCTGTTACTTTTCTTGTGTATATCCTTTTACATGAAAAATTTAACCCTAAACTTACTGTTTGTTGAATATCATACCTATATCAAATTTCAGAAACATTTCCACTTTCTCTTTATATTTGTGTTTTCTGTGGAAAATTGGAATAATTTTACCAACTTGTATCATTAGAAAATTAAAATATTTACAAATTTTATTTAATCTTCTTAAATAGAGATGCCTTTTGGCCCAATGGCATCTTAGCAGAGACTGTTCCATGCAGAGATAAAGCTATTCGAATGAGAACAAGAGTTGCAGGAAAAACTAAATTACTTTCAATTATGCCAGGTGAGTGAACATGTTTGATAAAAATCTCATTAATTTGTAGTTCTCCTGAATTTTTTACATTAAGTATGCTAGTTTTCTTGCCTTTTGATTATAATAACTACCATTTGATGGCTTATTATATACCAGGCACTTTTCTAGGCATTTCTCATATATTCTTAACTAGTTCTCATAACAATATTATGAAGCTAGGCACTGATACCATCACAGCTTTATAAATGAGGAAAAAAGTTTAGAGGTTAAATAAGCAACCCAAGGTTTATAGCCAGTAAGTGACAGTTGGGTTCTAACTCAGTTCTGAGTGACTTGAAAGCTCCTGCTTTCAACCACTTCAAAAAAACTGGTTCTTTTACACTTCACTTTGCTACCTTGAGACATTTTGAGAATAAAGTTGATGATAAATAAAATGTGACAGATTAAAGAGCTAATAAAAGAATATGAAGTGTGAGGTTTTCAGGAAGAGTGTTTGTTCTACATAAGAAAGCAAATTCTGTGTGAGAATTCCTTCACATAGAAACAGCTGGCCCATTATTAATCTTTATTAAAATATGATCACAAAGAAAGTATATATAGTGGCCATTCTATTTGTCTAATTTGACTTAACTTCTTTAGAACACCACTATGTCACTTAGATTGACTTTTTCCCTTTGTCTTCTCTCAAGAGAGGCTGTATAACATGAATAGCAGTATTGTGTATAGCTAGATGTTTGTCCCTTTAGTTAGGAATATCTTTGAAAATACCTAGTTTCACTTCTCCACATTTTAACTCTGGATGTAGAGAATGGAAAAGAATATTTATATTCTTTAATATCATATAATACCTGTTTCTTTTCCTATAATTCTCTTTTTCTTTAACTTCATCATAGATTTTATTAATCAACTCCTTTATCAGTTAAGTTGGAAATTCACCACATGGCTATTAATTCTGCCCTAATGGACTACACTGTTGTTGTCTTTGGATATAAAAAGCAAATTACAGAAATAATATTTTAGAAAAATAAAAAGAAACAATTGGATTTTAACATACTTTTAGAGTAAATCATAGACTGATTCAGTTATTCAGTTGGAAAAAAATGTTAATACATTTACAGTAAATATTTATTGAAAAAGTGTCATGAGTCAGACAGTATTCTTTGCATGAATCTTTGTCTTCTTGGAGACTACATTCTATTAGAAGGACACAGAAAATAAACAAAACAAATAAAACCCAATATGTTGATAGTGGTGAGTGGTAAGGAGACGTAGTACAGGCCAAGAGAAGTGTTAGGTGAGCTGCAGGTATAGACAGGTAGCTGAGGCAGGACTTCACAACTGGGTGAAGACGTGAAGGAAGTGAAGGTAGATAAACTAGAACATATGTATGTATATGCACACACATACATATGTGTATAATTCCTTGCCTTTTTTTCAGTAAATTCACAAACTCTTTGCCTCAAATAATACTATACCCATAGATAGAAACATACCTTTTGGAAGCAGCATGTTTCTTTTGAAAGCAATAAAGTAATATTCACTGCTGTCGGGGCCCTGATTATGAATAATTAAGAAAATCATACATGTTCCATAATCAAATATCTCTAATAACTTCATGTTGCCTGTGAGGACAGTCACAGCACCATCACTTTTCCATTCTCTACTTTCTCATAAAAGAAACCTAAAATTCAGCTAAACTGTACCCACATTTCCTAAACCTGCCTTGTTTTCTACTTAGCACTCCTTTGCTCACTGATGTTCTCCTTACCAAAGCCAGTCCTATTTGTGCCTGTCACAGTCCTACCCAGGTACTCCTTGAGTTGTTACTTCCTTGAAGCTTTCCTTACTATCTTATGTGGAATTCTCTCCCCTGTAGACTGCTTTCTACTTGCAGTATTTACTATAACTGTCCCAAGTTCTTTGAGGTCATACATCTACTTTGACCCATTGTTTCTGTGTAGCATTTCTCACTGTGCAGTAGACTTAATAAGGATATTTGGTGTTTTAGAATTTAAAGATCACTTTTCACATCATCTCATTAAAGGCTTCTGAATTCTTAAAGTCATAGGGTATTGGTTATTGTAAATCCCATCTTATGGATGAGGAAACACTGAAGGTGGGAAGTATTTTATAGGTATTAAGGAACAGGATTGTGCCTCTGGGGTTTCTTGAGTCTGGATCTTCCTTCTTTCTCCTGTACTATATTGTCACCCAGTACCTATTACATAAGTAGATGGATGCAAATTTTAAGTCTCAGTTACAGCACATAGCTGAAACACATTAAGTGAATATAATTTATCATTACTCTGCTGTGTACTTTCTGTGTTTTATTTAATTTAAAACATAGTTTAGGCCTTGTGTTTCCTTTATATGAGTAATGAGTTACGTTTATTTGTCCCCTTTTCATTTAGATGAACTGAAGCACATTATTGGGGCTGAGACAACACGGAAAGGTATTCTTCGTGTTTTTGAAATGTTTCAGCACAACCAGTTAAATAGAAGAATGGTTTATGTCTTCTTGGAGGGCTTTTTGGAAACTTTATTTCCCCAGTATAAATTCCGTGACCTTTTCAACAAACTGCACTCACGGTCAAAGCAGATACAGAAGTATAAACAGAAACTGCAAACTACTCCAGCGCCTTCTTCACAGAAAAGGTGACACTCCAATCTGCGAAGCTCGTATTCATTTTGTCCAGGACTAGTATGGACAGATCTTCTGGGGCTGAACACGTACTGTTGTGTGCACCAGTCTTTTAGTGTCTCACAATAGATTATCAATATATGAGACTGTGGTTTTTCTCATCCTCGTCTATAATCCAGCCATTACCAAGAGAGATTTCCATGTCTTAAATGATTTGGTGCATATTTTTGCAACATTGAGTGAATACTGCCCCTTTCTTGAGCAAGAATGATGTTGGTCTCTTCATTTCAAACTAATCAGCATTCTCCAGCAGTGACAAAGTGCCAGAATGTATATATGAGAGCTAAGGGAAGCACAAAACAATGGTTCACAGATAAGTTGGCTAATTTAACAGTGGGGGACTGTGCAATATATGGTTTTTGGAGGGGCTTTTTTTGTATAATGATTTTATAGGTCTTTGTCAGAATTTTGATATAGTGTGGATTAGTCAGGTAAATGATCTTCGGAACATCTGTTTCAGGTCTGGAGAAAGTGGCAGAATGCCCTTAAAGTATGAAGTAATCTTATACCCAAGTTATAGTTTTTTGACATTAAAAAAACCTAGTATATAACAAACCAATGAAAGAATTTGATTGTATTTGTTATTCATTGGTATTAAACAAATTTTAATTGTTTCTTACATGCTTTAAGGGCTCTTTTTTGCTCTTAATGGTACTCAATCATAAGTTCTCTTGGCATTCTGTGTACAAAGAAGCATATGGTGGCTCTCACTTAAGTTTCCAAATTATTAGTTTTAGTTATCTTTAAGAGATTACTGATTATACAGTGAGGAATATAATTTATTAAAAGAACTGCCAAACACATTCTGTCCTTCTGAAAATATGACAATATTTTAAAAAGTACTCTTGAAAGTTACCATATGATCATTTTAAATTGTGTGATCTAGACATAATTTAGGTGATTGCAAATATAGCAAATCAAAGGATTAAATGAGTTTATTAGTCATATGTCATATGTAAACATACAAATCCCTAATTCTATTAGTGTATGTATGTGAAAATAAATAATGAAAACAGAACTATAATATTTTTTTAAATATGCTTTTATTTATATTTTGCATAATGTAAAATTCTACTAAATAAAGCAAGTTGGCAAAACCCCTCAGTGTATACATTTAAGTCCCTAAAATAATTTTTATACCAACAACAGCAAATTACCTTTTCCAGTTTTGGAGACTCTGCATTTCTTACAGTGTTGTCATTCTCCATGTCCATCTTGGAAGTCTTCATGTCCCTTATATGCAGGGTTTCTGCATGGTTTTAAATACTTCCACTGAAGGGTATGGGTATGTTAGTGCTTTTTTGTTTTAAAAATATTTAACACTAAAACCTTAAAATAGTGAAGCTACTTAACAGACCACTGAGCCAAGATCCTGGTTTTAGAAGAACAGCCAGGTGCTAAGATAAAGGGACACAGTATTGGTATCCCAGTTATTTGGGAGCTTTAAGATTGGAACAAGATATTAACATCTTGTTTTTCACTGATAGTCTACTTAAAAAGTGAAGCCTAATAACAGAATAAAGCCTTCCTTTAAAGCTGTATAATAATAATCATTTATTTAAAATGCTGTTGTGCATACTTATGGTATGCATATGTTCAGCATGTGTTGCATGTCTCCAGAATTACATAAATGAAATCCCTTTCACTGCAACTTGCAGATGAGAAAAGATCTTCACTGATGGGTGGAAAAAAGTGTTTCTTCTCGTCAGTGTGTCTCCCTGCCTTGGTCCCTCCTATGCCCCAGGCTTTAAAGGTGAGGATATGTAAGGTATGTCTGTAGGAAGCATCAGCATGGCGTAAGTGCAATGACTTTCAGATTTACCCCTGCCCACTTCCAGTATATTTGTGACATAAATAAATCTAAGAGTAAACAGAATTCGAGTAAGAGCCTAGTGTGTATATGTGAAGAAGCATTTTTAGATAATGTAAGGCTGGCTATCAACCAGGGAAAGAAAGCAGGACTGCAAATCTGCTTTATAGAGCCCTGCAAGATATTGTAATCATACCAAAAACTGTTTGAGTAAATGGATTTTTAAAATAATTTTTGTTTCTAGAGTTTATATTTCAAAAGCAGAAACGTCAGATGGTAGTCTCTGTAAATGGTTGTGCATCTTCTCTGTGCACATCTGTGTTTTACATCAGAGAGTGTGGTCATGCTAAAGTTGGAGATACTTTTTGAATGACTTGGTCAGGCTGTGTGTAAAATATTTAACCCCTAAGTCAAGTACAGTGTACTATGTTTAATAAAGTTACTACATTTAATGCATTTATTGCATATATGAATATATATATATATATATATGAAGAGGCTCTATGTCTTCTGATCATTGATTTTTGAATGCATTTTTAAGTCTGGTGCCTTTAGGCAAGAACCTTCGAAATTATTCTTTGGGTTTTTTCTGATTTTTAACATACGAACTATTCACTACTAAGAGTTCATTCATCTAAAATATTGGTTGTATGATTTAATAAAGCACTTAGATGGACATTTCCTACAATTAGGGTATTCTGAATAGTTGCTGAAAACAATTGTGCCATTGACCAATGGATGCACTTGGTTAGCCTTAATTTTTAAAAAAAAAAAACATAAAAAACTTTCTTGAATATTTCATTTCACTCATTTTAAGTTTGTGCTGCTGGTGTTTGGAAAAAAAGTCAAGCAGTTAAAGTGCTACCAGAAAGTGTACCAATTTTTTAAAAATTAAGAACAATACAAATTTCACAATCCAAAATTTTAATTTTGTGCAATATTTTTGGTTAGTGCATGTGTATTTGAGTAATTGTAAAATAAATGAATTTTTAATGTTTTGAGGTCTAGTTTAAATTGTCTTTTAACCCAACAACTTACATTCCGTTGTTGCTGCATATCCTTTTATTTAAGGACTTGTTTTAAAAGTCTTTTTTGTCATTTCTTGTAAAATTCTTCTGTTATTAGTACATTTTGCTTATAGGAGTATTGCTCCTGTATCACAAGGGAAAAATATAAAGAGCACATTTTAGGATTATAATTGTTAAAAGATAACTTGTGCATATCATTCATTGTACAGTAAGTGTCAACTGTGTGCCTAACTATTCTATCACTACTTTCCTTCTTTAACAAAGAAGAAACAACAATCAGAATGTCAGTTATTTTTATTGAAATAGAAAGAAAAATTAAATTTTTATTTGGTTTGTGTTATATTCTGTCCATTAGAAGATACTAATAAAGTATTAACAAAACCTTTTTGTTGAATTTATTTAGTAGTGATGTAGTTTTATTACTTTAAGAAATGCTTGCTCAGTCGTCTTATTTTTAGTATCTTTTTTAGATCATATTATTTAGTATGATATTTTTAGTGTCATTTTAGAAATCAAGCTATTCAGTTTCAGGTACATAGATGATCTGTTGAGTTGTTACTGACTTCGAACTAACTGAATTTAATTGTTCCTTTTATGGGCAAGTAGTTTATTGCCATAATGTTAAGGAAATTTCATACTTAACAAATTACTAAGTAGTTTTCCTATAGATTTATAGTAAGAAATCCATTAGCAGTTTTTACTTCGGTCTCATTTTTTAATTCATAGTCTTCTTAGTATTTAAGATGTTTTCAGTCAAAAGGCAATAGATTGAGCACTGAGCGATGTAGCTATGACTGGTTGGTCATAGTTTACAATGTCCTTGGACCTGTATCCCCAGACTTCTCAGATGTCAGCTGTCATTACTGCTACCCTACTAGGGACAGGCTTAGTGTTTCTTGAAATACATACTTTAAAATATTCCTGGGGGAATAATTTTGTACTTTTATGTAATTGTGCAATTCTGTATACTATCTAAAACCCTAAAATATTCTTCACAATTCAAATATAATCATCAGAGTTTCTAAAAGTTCTATAATAAATCGGTTTAGTTATTTTTGCCTAACTTCTCAAACTTAGATAGCCACAGAATATTTGTCAGAAACACCTATTAATAGCTTGAGGATAATGTTCCCAAGGAATGTTGTTTGAGAAATCTTAGTAGGGGACAAAAAAAAAGGCAAAGCATATTTAATTAGGGAATATAAATTCTGGACAGAAAAACCAGTGGAGTTGGAACACTTTTTTTTTTTTAGGCTATCATTCCAATGGAAAGTTCAGTCTTTGGGAAAAAAGAAAGGAGGGCAGGGGATATGAAAAATTAACAGCTAATTATATAGCAGATTAGAGTTGAATTTGGCTCAGGGTATCAGAATAATGAACTCAGGGATAATAAAGTATGTCTCATGAGAAGTGGGAAAGAAACTTGCCAGGGATCTTGCTGATACCATCAAAAATGTAGTAGCTAGGAAATACAGAAGGGAAAAAGGTAAAATAGTTCAGTGTTTAAAATATGTGCCAAACATTGCCATATATATAGTTGCAGTAGTATGTTTAGATTAAGAAAAATTGGCAGCAGCTGAGGACTTAGTGCTTTGTAAGAAAAAAAATAGAATGAAAATTACACTCAATCAACTCATGTCTGTCTGCCAATGCAGTGTATGAGAAATGTGTGAAATGTGATCTAAGTTGGTCAACACGACCATTATATGTCATTGAATGGAATAAAACAATAGGACTGTATCACCCCCTGGTGATTACTAGCAGGGCTTACAGGACTCAGCTCACAGCTAAGATTCACTACAGCAAATGGGTATAGAAAGTTCAAAGGGAAAGGTTGCATGGCGCAAAGTCTGACGGAAGCCATGCACCAGTTTGCAAGGTCTCCTCCCAGTGGAGTCTCACAGAATATACTTCATTCCCCCCAGCAATGAGTTGTAACAACACATCTGAAATGTTGCCAACCAGGGAAGCTCAAGACGCTTATGATTTTTATTGGGGACAGGTCAAGTAGGTACCCTCTGCCTGGCAGGTACCAAAATTCTGGGCTCCTAGAAGGAATGCATGTGGTCTGCGTAAACCATGTATTTTGTACAGACAGTATAGGCATAGTAAGCCATTGTTATGTTAACTCTTTTCTGCATAACTATGTACCTTAATCCAAAAAAATGGCTAATAGAGACTGATGAGGAGAAAATGGGTAAGATTTTTCCTCTTGGAAGCTGAAGGTGAAATATGGCTGAGAGAATTGAGATGTAGATCAAAAGGAAAAAGGATCAAGTGATACAGATATGGGTATATATATTACAATCCAAGAAACTACAGGAACAGATTTGTATATTTCCAATAATGATTACCATGGCAAACAGTTACACAGCACTACTAATCAACTTTTTAAGGAGTAGGTACTGTTATCTCCAGTTCATAGATAGGAAAATGCAGGCATACAGTGGTTGAGTCAATTATTGAAAGTTTCACAACTGGTAAGTGATGAGACTGAACTCTCAAACCAGGTCATCTAACTGGCTAGAGTCTATATGCCACAGTTTTTCAACAGCAGCACTATGGACATTTTGAACTGCATAATTCTTCATTGTGGGAGCTGCCCTGTGTATTACAGGATGTTTAGCGGCATCCCTGGACTCCTACCCCCAGCTGTGACAACTAACAGAGTTATCACCAGTTGAGAACCTATGCTCTTAGTCACAAATGTAAGATGAAGTATGGACTGAGGACTTCAGTTCTGGATATTTGTGTCTTCTCTCCCTAAGCAAACACCTGACATATTACTGGCTTGCCATGTAGGGAGAAGGTAAATGGGATGACTCTTTGCTTTAAGGAGGAGAAGGGGGAAATATTTTACCTTGTCTTTAAGCATCTCGTAGTTGAGAGGGAGAGAGACTTGGCAACCTGAGATAAACAAGAAAAACGAGGTTTTTCTTGAAGATGTGAGATAAATGATTCTATGAGAAACTGCCTTTTCCTCCCATGCCCAGGCTTAACTCAGTAACACTGATAGTGTGGGATATTTTTATTTCAAGCACCTGTTGTCCTTTTCGTTTTGTGAGCCAGGGCTTCTAGAGCCTGAATACCCCTTGCAGTCTTCTTTGCAAGTGAACACCTTTCCTAAATGCTCTCGGGTCTGTTTTCCTTGGACCAGGTGCAAGTGCAAGGTCGCCGGGAAGGCCCAGGTGACTCATTTTCAGCACTGATTTTGCCTCCGGGGGAACCTCTTCAACCATTAGAGTTTTTACCCTTGCTGACTCTGTTTTGGTCTTTTTCTGCCCTCTGCTGCTTTTCTGGGTCTTGGCCCAGCCTGGTTCCGTGACTAGTGAGTGCCAAGCTGCTGTATCTCTTTATTGGTGAAAGCAATGTTGGGAAGCTGAGTTTGTGGTCTGACCTTTTGAGTCTCTATCAAGCAGTCATTTGCCTTTTTGTTTGTCTTGAGGATTCTTAAAATCTTACCGGCCTTTCAGACACGGGTTTACTCAGGCCAATAGGTTTACTCAGGTCTCACCTGTGGGATTAAGTTGATCACGTTGCAGCCCGCACCAGTAACTGTGTTTCTTCTGCCAGAGGTAGAATCCTCTCTGTTTTCTGTCTTATTTACACAGCCCTGTAAGGTACAACATTCAAGAAAAAAGTTCTTGTGCCTCCTGGAAAGCAGCTGGCTTCCTGCAATTCTTTGTGTGTCTGATCTCCTTCCTTCCAAAGCTGCTACAACAAATTGGTGAGTTTTGTTGTTTATTTTTGATTCATGGATGAAATTGTAAAAGTGAACCTACTACTTCTGTGTACATGTGTGTGTATGCAAATGGAAAAAAAGGCTTTTCTGCCCTTGTGAAAGAAATTAGCCTTTTCAAAATGGTCTGTTTATAATTTTAATATTGTATTTGCTGCTGAGATTCACTTCTCTTGAAATTAATTAGGTGTAAAAATTGATCAGTTATATACGCTACTGGGGATATCTAATTTAAAATACAGGTTAACCATCAAAGAGAAAATGCACACAAAGATTTAAGAAAAAATTCAAATTAGTTTCATGTGCTTTTAGAGGTGGAGTTGAGACTGAAGAATTCTTGGTTTTTATAAAAACTATCAATAATTTAGATTAGAAAGTCTCAAATTTAATGGAACGCCTATTTTGATTGCATAAATAGACTAAGTAGGACATCTTTGAATTTAAAATTTAAAAAAACAAGTAAACTTCAGAGAGGAAGTAAAGAAAAAGTGCCCAATGAATCAGTTTGCTAATTCTTTAAGGAAACTCAAATATTTGCTGATGGAGTTATTGGAACAAGTTAGCCATTCTTTAAATTAATGGCCTTGATTGCTTGGTTACAAGAAACAAAGGCATATATATGTTGCCAAATAACCAAAAGAAAAATGCCAAGACTTTGTTTAAATAATAAGGTATGCAAATGTAGAAGAAGTCAGATAATATTATGAAATAAAGTGAATATTTGGACAAATCACACTTAGAAACATTTCAGTTTGAAGCAACTCTGCGTCTTTGCCCTAGTGTGAAAGGTATTATTATTCTGAAGTTTCTTGTTTATACCAAACCTTGTATATGTTTTCCTATGGGAAGTCTAATTTGAGTGTCGTAAATTTCCTGCATTGATTTAATGGATCATGTTATCTTTGTCTCCACAAAACATTCAAGATTATGAAAATGTAGAAGTTGTGTTTGGCTAAATTACTAGTTTTCAACGGGGTGAGTTTACCCCTCAGGGAACATTTGGGAGTGTCTGGCCATTCTTGAGTGTTGGCTCTGAAGTTGCTACTAGCATCTTAATGAGTAGAGGTCAGGGGTGCTACTAAACATCCTGTAGCACCCCCATAACAAAGAACCAGCTGGTCCAAAATGTCAACTGTTGTTAAACCCTGAACTAAATGAAAAATGGCTTTAGAAAAAAGGGTTTATTTCTCTGATGCTACAGATAATGCTATATAGATAGTGTGTTTATAATGCTTATGTAAAAAAAAATTGTCATATTGTCATTGAAATTTATCTATGTTGTTACATATATCAATAACTCATCCTTTCTATTGTTAATAATACTCCATAGTATGGGTGTACCACAATTTTTTATCCACTCACCAGCTGAAGGACATTTGGGTTATTTCCAAATTGATGTAATTATGAATAAAGCTGCTATAAACAGTGTTGTATAATAAAGAACTTGACTGGCCTCTATCCCTGGTTCCTTAAAGGTAGACTCTAAATCCATGGAACTTCCCAAGTAATAGGAGTGTCTTGCTCTTCATGAGCCCCTTTAGAGTTTATGCTGAGGAGATTAATTAAGGATGGGAGCTGGTCACCAGAAAAATCAATCATGTATTTGAAAATTTGGAACTTTGAGCCAGCCAACCTCTTGGGA